TTCTTCTGGGGAAAGTCTGATTTGATTTATTTCCCTTTTAAGATCAATATTATTAGCCCCATGTGTTGAAGAACAAATCTCTCTGTTAAACAGAAATTGGGGGGGAAAATAAACAGGGGGGCAAATAATTCTGACTACAATTGTATATATGGATATATTATACTATGCATATCTCCTCTGTTGTGTTGTAGATAGACGAGCTGAAGTGCTGTGGTCGTTTGATTTTTTCTTTGCATTATTAAACGCAAATGTAATCTGCATATTAAATTTTGCATTCATATTCATTATAGATGTTGTTATATCTTTAAACGTGCAGCTTATAAACAGGCTTCAGCATTCACAACACAAGTCTCAATTTTATTTGAGTTAGCGAAGGCATGTTACAGTGTGCATGCAGATGCTGCTATAAATGATCTGTTCAGGATGATCTGTTGTGTTGTAAATAAATGAGCTGAAGGATGTTAATGTTTGATCAGGTTTCTGTGCATCATTAAATGCGATGTTAATTTTATAACTCTATATTGGTTATGAGTGCACTGTAATTGATCTATTGTATATTGTACTACGCATGCAGATGCTGCTATAACGGATCTCTGCTGATTATTTGCGTGCTGTTGTGTATAATGTCGCTGTCGTCTGCTGGTTTCTCGTCTCTGTGGTGTTCAGAAGCTCACAGACCATCTGAAGCTGAGTTTAAAGACGGAAACCACAGCGCTGCGTATAGTTTCAGGCAGAGAGAAGCCTCATATAAAGATCTCTGATTACGCAGACGCTCATGCTGAAACTGCCATGATTCATTTAATCAATGGAAACTTTATACATCTCTGTATTTATAAGCCCTCGTAATCTTCCAAAGCTCTGAGTTTCTGTTTTTGATGAAACCCAGAGGAAAACATTCAAATATTGATGTGAACCAAACAACGTCAGACATTATTCAGCGCATCAGCAGTTTAAGACTCAACGCTTTACATAATGCTCCATTAGATCGTGCATTAATTAACCGTCGTTTAATATTTACAAGTGTTAGACATTATTCAGTGTATCGGCAGCTTCAACACAACACTATAGATGTGCATTAAACTAAAACATCATTGGCTTTGAATATTAAAATTTAAATAAAAAACATGTTTTGAAATAAACAGTTCACAAATTTTATACATTTATTAATAAAAAGCTTATATTTCACTGTATTATTATTATTATTATACTTGAATGTGTTTTGGCTCATTTCAATAAAAAGGTTTAAAATGTACTAAAATTAATAATAAATAATCTCATTATTATATTTATTATTATTATAATGCTAAAATGTGTCCTGGTTCACTTTAATAAAATTAAGCTGTAAAACTGCATTAAAATTAATAACAAAAAGCCTATTATTATATTTCATACTAGTTATTATTATACTATTGTGTTTTGGCTCATTTAAATAAAATGGTTTAAAATGTAGTCAAATTAATAATTATAAGCCCATTAATATATTTTGTATTATAAATATTAGTATAATACTAGAATGAGTCCTGTTTCACTTAAATAAACAAAGTTTTCAAAGAATTGTAATAAAATAACAACAAAAACCCTATTATTGTGTTTAATATGACTATAATAACACATTCTATAATTGCATAACTTACACGATTATTATATTTCATACTATTGTAATGAATAATGTCAAACAGAATCAAATATTTATTGATCACTTATTCTTTATTTAGATGTCAAGTGCAGCTCTGAACAGTGTGTTATCAGCTGCATGAGGATGATGACTATTTCACACATATACACAGCTGAAAGCAGAATTATTCAACCCCTTTCAATTAATTTTTTAAATATTTCCTAAATGATGTTGAACAGATTCAGGAAATGTTCACAGTGTGTCTGATAATGTTTGTTCTTCTGGAGAAAGTCTGATTTGTTTTATTTGGGCTAGAATAAAAGCACTTTTTAATTGTTTAAACACCATTTTAAGGTCAATATTATTAGCCCCTTTAAGCTATATTTGTTTTGAATGTGCTCTCCGTTAAACAGAAATTGGGGTAAAAATGATGAGAGGGGCGAATAATTCTGACTTCACCTGCATGTATATTATGCCTCTTTATTTCCACAAGAGTTATTTGAAGCAGTAGGCTAGACATGTACTTTTGTTTGTTTGATCTGACGAGCGTCTCATTTAGACTGGAAGAGAAAATAAACCCTGAAGCTTCTCGTCTGTGAAGAATTAATCAGACTGGTTTGGGTCGACATGAGGACAGAACGATCATCGTTTAACAGTTCTTCACATCTCACCTGAGAAAGAGGAAAGACTCTGCAGTTCAGCGTCTGCCTGCAATATCAGAGACCCTGGACAACACAACACAGATGAATATGTACTCATTTAAAGAAGCTGGGCATGCAGAGATGCGTTTTTAAGATTTAGTTGAGATCAAATCTACGATCTTAGGGTTTATAAAATCGAAATATGCAGAAAGTTTCCTTTACATCTGTGCAAATTAAGTTCTTAGCGATGGATATTAATAATCAGATTAGATTACATTGAAGAAATGTGCAAAATGTAATAATATTCAACATTTTAGATATAAGAGAAAATATAGTTTATATAAACTAATCTACGTTTAACCCAGACAATGTTTAAAAAAATTAAAAAGCAGGTTTTTAAATCTACAATGAAAGTCAATGGTTACAGGTTTTCAGCATTCCTCAAAATATCTTCTTTTGTGTTTGACAAAATAAAAACTCTGTAAAGGCTTATAATCATCACCTGAGTGAGTCAACAGAGAACCTTTAATGTGTCAGTTCACCCAGAAACTACTATGATAAAATACATTTATAAATCTACATTATACATCGTTATTTTATTTTGCTGAACACAAAAGAAGATATTTTGAAGAATGCTGAAAACCTGTAACCATTGTCTTCCACAGTAGATAAAACAAATACAATGGAAGTCAATGGTTACTGGTTTTCAACATTCTTCAAATTATCTTCATTTGTGTGTTCAACAGAATAAAGGAACTCGTAAAGGTTTGACAAAGAGAAAGGAGAGTAAACGATGACAGAATTGTATTGTTTTTTTAATTAGGCAGAGGGGTGGCAGAGCGGTTTAATGAGTCCCGGCTGGGTCAGTTGCTGTCAACTGATTAACTAAATTGGCCGTAGTGTATGAATGTGTGTGTGTGTGTGAGAATGAGAGTGTATGGGTGTTTCCCAGTTTTGGGTTTCAGCTGGAAGCGCATTCGCTGTGTAAAACATATGCTGGATAAGTTGGCGGTTCATTCCACTGTGGCGACTGCTGATTAATAAAGAGATTAAGCCAATAAGTAAATGAATGAGTGAATGAAAATGAAGCAGACAGATGAAGAGTAAGAGCAGGACATGTGAGATATAGAGGATAACCTGCTGGCTTTACATGGACAGAATAATAATGGAATACAGTTATATAAACAACCATAACACACCCGTATCCCAGCCCAAATCAACCCCACAAACAACACAGAAGAAAAGATCCATGCTAAATTATTAAGAAGAAAAAATGAGGGGCTCGGCTCCATCTATGAAGAAGGTCTCTGTCAAAAGAAACCACAGAGTTTCACATTTAATAAAGTAAGCGGGCAGAGTCCCTAATGGAGGACTACATTTAGGGGACATTTTGTGTGTGAGCTGTCTCTTTAAGAGCTCTAATCAGCATATGTATATATGTGTGTGTGTGTGTGTGTGTGTGTGTGTGTGTCAGTGGCTCCTCCTGCTGGTGGTCTGCAGAACAGCTTCAGGGTTGTGTAATCTGCACATCAGGAGTTTGTGGACTTCAATCCAGGAGTGAAACCCTGCTGGAGATCGAGCCGAGCAGAATGAAGCTGTTCTGGGGACAAACCCTGATCCAGATCCTGATCGTGACGCTGGTCTGCGGGTCAGTGTGTGCTGGACGGCCCTCAGGTCTGTCTTACATCTGTTCTTTCATTAATGAAGATGTCTGTATGTAGTCTGACGTCTGAGTAAATATAAGGGCTTTCTGACTGGATCAGTTCTGTTTTGTTATTACCTTAAAGGGAAAGTTCAGCCAAAAATGAAAATTCTGTCAACATTTACTCCTTTATAACCGCGATGAAGATATTTAGAAAAATGTTGGAAACCTGTAACAAGTGCTGCTCTTACTGGGAGTTTGTGTCTCGTTTCTATTCAATTATCTGTTTATTTTTACATTATTCTCAAATAAAAATCATTTGCTAGACGAGCAAATATTGTGCTGGTTTCAGAAATAATGAGTCAAAATTCAAACTAAAATCCTCTTATTCCAGATTGAAAGGAAATGTGATTTGCTGACCCCATTGTCAGATTATTCTGCTGGTTTTAATGTAAAACTCTCTTCATTTTCACTCATTATTTATGAAAACAGCACTGTCTTTTCTGCCGGTCTAGAAAATGCTGACTGATTGGAGACTTTTGAGATATTTGGACTAGAAACAACACACACACAGTTTGCAGTGTAAAGCTCAACATGACCATACACTGCTAGAACTGTGGGTCTGCTACAGAAAATGTGTCCAGACTCACCGCTGTGTGTGTGTGTGTGTGTGTGTGTACCTGTGTCTTCTTCATCCGGTGTGTGTGTGTGTGTGTGTGTGTGTGTGTGTGTGTCCATGATCTGCAGTGTTCTTGAGTCGTGCAGAGGCGAACCGGCCGCTGCATCCGCGTGTGCGCAGGGCGAACTCTTTCCTGGAGGAGCTGAAGCTGGGAGATCTGGAGCGCGAGTGTCTGGAGGAGATCTGCTCATATGAGGAGGCCAGAGAGATCTTCACCGTCCCCGACCAGCTGGTGAGCAAAACAAACATTAAACAAGAATATAGAACACACACACACACACACATACACACACTCACACACACACACACTCACTCACACACACACACACACACACACACACACACACACACACACACACACACACTCACACACACACACATACACACACACACACACACACACACACACACATACACACACACACACTCACACACACACTCACACACACACATACACACACACACACACACATACACACACTCACACACACACAGAATCTAGTGTGCATTGTTGAATCGCTGAATGCCTCCTCAGTCATAATCATATAATAAATGTGAGACAGCAGAGGAAGATAACTCAGATCTCCTGCTGTGTTTCAGGAGGACTTCTGGAAGAGGTACACAGGTATGTGCAGAGCCGGCTGCATGCCAAAACACGCTTGTCTCACTTATTGTGTGTCTTGTTTCTAGTCCAAATATCTCACAACTCTTAAATCAGGAAGCATTTTGTAGACAGGCAAACAATACAGTGCTGCTTCCAGAAATAATGAAATAATAATGAGTCAAAGTGAAGCGAGTTTCTCCTTACAGCAAGCAGAATATTCAGCCAGTAGAGAATCACTGGACAAACTCTCCCTCACAACTCAATAGCGACACCCTCAAACCAGTCAGTACGGTACTGCCCAGCCGTGTGCCGTCCTGCTGCTGATGGGTTTCTGTGATTGCTGTTGTTCAGAGGTGGATCACTGTCAGTCCGAGCCGTGTCAGAACGGCGCCACGTGTGTGGACCAGATCAACACATACATCTGCATCTGTCCAGTCAACCTCGAAGGGCGACACTGCGACAAAGGTAACACACAACACAACACAACTACACAACACACCACAACACACAACACAACTACACAACACACCACAACACAACACAACACAACACACCACACAACACCACACAACAAAACACAACTACACAACACAACACAACACATCACACCACAACACAACTACACAACACAATACAACACAACACCACACAACACAACACCACACAACACAACTATACAACACAACACAACACAACACCACACAACACAACTATACAACACAACACAACACAACACAACACACCACACAACACCACACAACACAACACAACTACACAACACAACACAACACATCACACCACACCACACAACACAACTACACAACACAACACCACACAACACCACACCACACAACACACAACACAACTATACAACACAACTATACAACACCACACAACACCACACCACACCACACAACTATACAACACAACACAACACACAACACAACACCACACCACACAACAGAACTACACAACACAACTACACAACACACAACACACAATACAACAACCAGAACGCTGCAGAACGAGCATCTTCCTCATCTTCCTCATCTTCCTCATCCTCAGAAATCTCCCCGCGCTCTTCATTCGGATGTCTGTACAGGAATGGTGGCTGCGAGCACTTCTGTGTGGAAACCAGCGAGACCACTCACAGCTGCGACTGTGCGCCCGGATACACACTACACAGCGACAACAGCAGCTGCGTGCCCACGGGTCAGCCATTATCCAGCAACACTGCACTGTGTGTGTGTGTGTGTGTGTGTGTGTGTGTGTGTGTAGCAGCAGCTAGGGATGCTCAAAATAATGGATTAAGCGTTAACTGAAAGGTGTGATTGTAACCCATTACTGGTCTCAGTTAAATGATTAAACTATATTATTTTAGATATTATGAAAGTCTGGCTGCAGAAGTGTCGATCGATCACAGCGAACATGCTTTTTGGCCATATTTCGAATGGTTTACTGATGGCTGCTTCGTGTTTTTGCCATGGCGTGCTGTGTGCTCACAGTTAAAATAAAAGTCAACCCTGAGTGGAAAAAGTGCGTTACGTCAGCTGCCAGAAGAGCAAGATGGAGGAAGAGTATCGCTGTTTGACACAGATGTTGATCGCCTCTGTCCTGGATAAACTCAACAAATAGGCTCTTGATTTAGTGGACAAGCAACAAACCAACCGTTCTCCATTTGGAAAATTACGAATACTAACAGTTCTTATGAAATATCCATCTTTAAAATAGCCCTCATTACCTACCAATCAAACTAATCCAAAGCTGTTCTTGATTTAGCATAATGATAACTCTGCAGCAAACTGAGGCTTTTATTGTGCAGCTTATAAAACATGTCTGCAAATGAATGCAGTATCATATGTGAACAACTGAACCGTGTTATGCTACAGTAGTTTATAGTAAAAAGCCAGCGTACTGTATATCGTCAGTGTCTTTCATCACACACACATGACCCGCGAGGAAATGAAAGCACACAAGCGTAAGGTAAAATCAGATGCTCAAGACACAATCTATAATCACCTGTAAACTGTTGACAGAGGTTTGTGATATAAGAATGAGTGTGGATCACTGATTCAGTGCATAGAACTTATTTTGTGTGAAGAGACTGATTAAGGGTAGTCTGCTATTACAAGAGTTTATTTAAAACATACTGTATGATGGGAAAAAAACACCGGTTCTTATAAAGGATCAGTCAGTGTCTTTGTTTTTTGATCTAAATTTGTAATTTAAGTGAAAAATATCTCGAGCAGGTCTATTTATTTGAGTTTTGTTTAGTTTATTCAGTTTTTCTGTGCTGCTGGACACTGCAGGTGTGTGAAGATGCTGTTCTTCTGTTCTGTTGTTGAGATGTTCACGTGTTCAAATTAACCAGCATTTGAAAATGCAGCGTTTAATGTGTCGGACACAAAATACACACGTACGTTTTTTTAATTAAAAATTAGTTTATTATTAATCTGATTAGTAAACCATTAATATTCAGGTAAGCAGCGGTGGTTGTCAGTTGGCAAAATTAACCAAAATGAGCATCCCTAGTGGTAGCAGCGTCTGTGTTCACTGTGAACTCTGTCATCATTAGCATTGTGTGCTCCACCCATTATTAAGTGCATTTCAGAATATTGCATATAAACCCGGGTAGCCTACAATTCTGGCCCACATTTGGCATGAAGCAGGCATTTATTCGGCGCTGGTATACAGCATGTGGCCTGGGGTTTGGCACTAACATTGAGGCGGCACACAAGACTTGACGTGATGTCAAATGTAGTATTTGGCCCAGATGTTAAAAATGTATTTGTGGAGCACGCAGGTTTAGCGGATCAGGACACACTTTAAATTATATTTGAGTAAAGAAAAAATTCTACCCATCATGACGCTTCGAGAAAAAGCACGCCCATAGCACAACTAAAGCGAAGTGCTTCATGGGTTTATCAAACTGCGGTCAGGGCACACCAACGTATCTGGCCCAGTTAATTTGGATGAGACTTGGTCTAGATATGGTCCATGTTTGGCCCTTGTGTTGGTCCAGTCATGTCCCGTAATTCACTGCGGCATGTGGGCCAAGCAAAAGCTGATGAAGTGGGCCAGATCTGGGCCAGAAAAATGCTGTTATGTGAGAAGGCTTAAAGCAGGGGTGTCAAACTCAATTCCTGGAGGGTCGAAGCCCTGCACAGTTTAGTTCCAACCCTGCTCCAACACACTTACCTGTAGGATTCAAACAAGCCTGAAGGACTCAGTTAGTTTGATCAGTGTGTTTAATTAGGGTTGGAACTAAACCGGGCAGAGCTGCGGCCCTCCAGGAACTGAGTTTGACACCTGTGGCTTAAAGGAAACTCTGGCTCTCGAGACTCGTCCGCATTAATCAGACCTTGAATGATTCTCAGGATCAAAACACTAATAAGGAATTAAGATGTGTACGTTTGGGTATTTTTCACAGCAAAACCATCAGAGAAATGCTGTGAAATCTGCAGCAAATTTAGCAAAAACTCACCACATAATTATTTTAGTTGAAACAAATCACAAACCCCTGCAGAGACTGAATAATATGAGGTAAATCATGTGTCTGAAAACTGAACTATAGCAAAAAACAGCAGTGAATTCAGCCGATCAGCGAAAGAGAAGAAAACCCTCACTTCCTGATGAACCGGCTCCAAATATCAGACGGGAAACTGCAGTTACAGATAAGCTCATCAAGTTCTGATCTCTTTAGTTTGAGTAAATGTTGATGACTGGGTGTGATTAACCCTTTAAATAAAATTAAATTAACTCTGGACACACTGCTCTGGCTGCTCACGCTCTGTGTGATGTTCAGACTCATGTCACAGTGGTTTAGTTCTGTAGGTCTGCTGTAAGCTGCTGTTGTGTTTGTGATCAGCTGATTTCTCGTGTGGCCGGCCGGTGGCGAAGGGTGTGGGTCCGAGGATAGTGAAGGGGGACGTGTGTCCCAAAGGCCAGTGCCCATGGCAGGTGAGCATTGATCAGCACATCACATATACAGCAGAGTCACAGATAATCTGCATTACTACACGCTTCAAACACTGAATCCCTGTGCTTCTGCTCCTCAGGCTCTACTGGAGTATGACGGACAGTATAAATGCGGCGGTGTGATCCTGAACTCGCAGTGGATCATCACCGCCGCTCACTGCATCTGGAGGAAAGATCCAGCGCTCTTACAAGTCATAGTTGGTGAGAACACAGACGACACCTCTGACAAATCTGCACTCTCCTACTGTTCTGCCACATCAGTGTAGATATCACTACCTAGAGCCATATTCAGGACAAAACTTATCAGACACAGGACATTTCTCAAGATACATTCTGAGAAGTTTGTACGAGTGCAGTTCTCAAAGTCACTGTGAAAGGGAAGAGATAAGAGTGTCCTTTATAAAGATTGAGGAATGAACATAATAAGAGCAGAAAGACACGCAATGATAGCCCCGCCCTAGAAGACAGGTAGCCCCACCCCTAAAGCACGGATAGCTCCGCCCTTAAGCACTGATAGCTCCACCCTAAAAGAAAAATAGCCCCTCCCTAAAGCACTGATAGCTCCACCCTAAAGCACTGATAGCCCCACCCAAAAGCATTGATAGTCTCGTTCTAAATGACTGATAGCCTAAACCAAACGCACTGATAGTCCCACCCTAAAAGACTGGTAGCCACACCCCTGAAGCGCTGATAGCTCCACCCTAAAGGAGTGATAGACCCGCCCTAAGGCACTGATAGCCCCACCCAAAATCATTGATAGTCCCGTTCAAAATGACTGATAGCCCCACCTTAAAGCACTGATAGTCCCGCCCTAAATGACTGATAGCCCCACCCAAAAGCATTGATAGCCCCACCCTAAATGTCTGATAGTCTCGCCCTAAATGACTGATAGCCCCACCTTAAAGCACTGATAGTCCCGCCCTAAATGACTGATACCCTCACCCAAAAGCATTGATAGTCCCGCCTTAAATAACTGATAGCCCCACCCAAAAGCACTGATAACCCCACCCTAAATAACTGATAGCCCCACCCAAAAGCACTGATAACCCCACCCTAAATAACTGATAGCCCCACCCAAAAGCAATGATAACCCCACCCTAAATAACTGATAGCCCCACCCAAAAGCACTGATAACCCCACCTTAAATAACTGATAGCCCCACCCAAAAGCACTGATAACCCCACCCTAAATAACTGATAGCCCCACCCAAAAGCACTGATAACCCCACCCTAAATAACTGATAGCCCCACCCAAAAGCACTGATAACCCCACCCTAAATAACTGATAGCCCCACCCAAAAGCACTGATAACCCCACCCTAAATAACTGATAGCTCCACCCAAAAGCACTGATAACCCCACCCTAAATAACTGATAGCTCCACCCAAAAGCACTGATAACCCCACCCTAAATAACTGATAGCTCCACCCAAAAGCACTGATAACCCCACCCTAAATAACTGATAGCTCCACCCAAAAGCACTGATAACCCCACCCTAAATAACTGATAGCTCCACCCAAAAGCACTCATATCCATGCTCAAAATCAGGGATAACCCCACCCTAAATAACTGATAGCTCCACCCAAAAGCACTCATATCCATGATCAAAATCAGGGATAACCCCACCCTAAATAACTGATAGCTCCACCCAAAAGCACTCATATCCATGCTCAAAATCACGGATAGCCCCACCTTAAATGATTGATAGCCCCGCCCTAAAAGACTGATAGTCCCTGCCTTTAATTACTCATAGCCCCGCCCTAAATGAAGATGGCGAGGGGAAGGTTGTTGTATTTGGAGTTTAATGGGGTGAATGAATGTTATCACAGTAATGAGGTGCACAGATGCATCATGCATAAGCAGCACTACTGCTGTCCACACATATAACCTGTGTCTGTTTGCGGTGGTCCTGCAGGTGAGCACATCCGCGATAGAGACGAAGGCACGGAGCAGATGAGGAAGGTGTCAGAAGTCTTCCTCCACCCTCAGTATAATCACTCCAGCACAGACAGCGATGTGGCTCTGCTGCGTCTGCACCGGCCCGTGACTCTCGGACCCTACGCCCTGCCCGTCTGCCTGCCTCCGCCCAACGGCACCTTCAGCCGCACACTGGCCTCCATCCGCATGTCTACGGTGAGCGGCTGGGGCCGGCTGGCGCAGTCTGGACCTCCGTCTACTGTGCTGCAGCGGCTGCAGGTGCCGCGGGTCTCCTCTGAGGACTGCAGGGCTCGATCCGGCCTGACCGTCAGCAGGAACATGCTGTGCGCCGGCTTTGCCGAGGGAGGGCGCGACTCCTGCCAGGGCGACAGTGGTGGTCCGCTGGTCACGCGCTACAGAAACACCTGGTTTCTGACCGGCATCGTCAGCTGGGGGAAAGGCTGCGCTCGCGCAGACGTCTACGGCATTTACACACGTGTGTCTGTGTTCGTGGAGTGGATCTTGAAGACTGTGGCCAGCGCATGAACATAACCACGATCACGCTTACTGCTCAGAGTGATCTGTACAGCGCTCTCACTATAATTACTGCTCCACAGATGAAGATGCTCATTATCATGCTACAGTACGATCGCCACCATATCACAATACTCTTCCTATTTCTATATGTATAAAATATGCATCATATGCAGTAATTCCTGTTATAAATGATGTATCTGTACACTTACATTAATTTGCCCTCATAAACTCTGATCAAAGTTTTGAACACATTAAATTCCTTAAGGGCTATCAGTCATTTAGGGCGGGTCTATTAATTGTTTAGGGAGGGGCTATCAGTCCTTTAGGGCGGGGCTTTTAGTTCTTTGGAGAGAGGCTTTTAGTGATAAAAAGTGGGATACCAGTCCTTTTGGGAGGGGCTATCAGTTTAAGGCGGGGCTATTAGTCCTTTGGGGAGGGGCTTTCAGTGATTTAGGGCAGGAATATCTGCTTTAGGGCGGGGCTTTCAGTACTTTGGGGAGGGGCTATCAGTGCTTCAGGGCAGGGCTATTAGTCCTTTAGGGAGTGGCTTTCAGTGATTTAAGGCGGGAATATCAGTGCGTTAGGGCGGAGCTATTAGTCCTTTGAGGAAGGGCTATCAGTGCTTTAGGGCGGGGCTATTAGTCCTTTGCTGAGTGGCTTTCAGTGATTTAGGGTGGGGTTATTAGTCCTTTGGGGAGTGGCTTTCAGTGCTTTAGGGCGGAGCTATCACTTCCGTTGTTAGCAACTGCCATCTTTCAACAATCCAATCAGTTCTCAAAGAACAAAATCGTGCACTTCCTTACAGACAATCTTGACTTCTGTCTCTTTAACTTGCAATCACGTAGTATATAGTGTCCATCCCAAATGATGATGTCTGTGTATAATAAATGTTCACTGAAGTGTACTTGTATGAAAATTGTGTTGTCCTCGTAGGGTGGGCATCATCTCTTCACAGGTCTTGGATCTGATCGTGTGGCACTGCACAATCTCTAATTCACTAATAACAGTAAATTGTTTTTGCAACACACAGTGAAGAACTACCCTGGAAAGATGTGACTGTTCTATCTGATCATATTAAATATGGATGTGTTCATTGATGATGCAATGTTCAAATATTAGAAAATAGAGCACACCTGAGCAGACTGGCTGTATCAGCACCTCAGGTGTGTGTCTTATTCTAATAATTCAGGCCATTATTCTGCTTATGCCACTGTTGAGTTTGAGTTTTTGCTCCTGTGTGCAGCACTAGTCTCCTCCTCCTGTTGTGGTGTGGTTTCTGACTGCTGTAGCTGTGAAATAACTCTAATCATTCAGCGGAGTGATATGGAGCTGTAACACGCTCTAAACCTGCCGGAACTACTTTATCTGACAATAACCAAACACCTGAGAGTGACCAATGGCCAATCAGAATGCAGAACTCAGCATTTGTAGGCGGATCCTTATAATATGCAAATATTATGAAATGAATCCTTGATTGACAATCAGATTTCTGTGCACTACAGCAATAAAACTAAAGTGACAGACACCAACTGAGAAATCACTCATTCATTCTCCTTCAGCTTAGTCCCTTTACTCACCTTGGGCTGCCACAGCAGAATGAACCGCAAACTATTCCAGCATGTTTTACGCAGCGGATGCCCTTACAGCTGCAACCCAGTACTGGGAAACACACACACACACACACACTCATACACTACGGCCAGTGTAGTTGATCAGTTCCCCTATAGCGCATGTGTTTGGACTGTGGGGGAAACCGGAGCATCCGGAGGAAACCCACGCCAACACGGGGAGAACATGCAAACTCCACACAGAAACACCAACTGACCCAGCCGAGACTCAAACCAGAGACCTTCCAGCTGTGAGGAAACAGTGCGACACTACTGAGCCGCTTTTATATTGATTCAGTTTTCCGTAATGTTAGTGAATAACGTATATGTAATTGATATTTTCTGTCTTTCAGTGGACATGTCATATGAAACCTGCATTATTTACCAAACAGGTGGCTCTAATTGGATTTGCATAGTAAAGCTTAAATAAAAGCCTATTTTATTTTAATTTCATACGCTTAGCGTTTTGTTGACTATCCTGTCAAATAAATCCACAGCAAAAACATCCCGCATGTTCAGTATGAGGCATGCCACACATATGAGGATATATGCATTTCCCACTCCTCACTGAAGCCTGGCAGAGCATGATGGAGATTACAGAAACCAAGAGCAAACACTGCCCTGAATGAAGTGTGTTTCCGCAGGGTTGTGGTGTGTTTGTGGTGCAGTAGGGAGGGTTTGTGAACTCTGAGCGCTGGAGAGTGTTTAGACTTCAGACCTTTGATCGAGGATGTTCAAACAGAGTAAAGCGCAGTAAATATGAGTCTGCTGCTTGTGTTTTCTCTGCTCTCGAGTCTCCATTACTGCCATTCAGCAGCAGGTAATACACTACACGTTCACTGTTCACCACCGAGGAGATACAGACCATGATGATGATGATGATGTGGTGTTCGCAGTGTTCGTGCACAGAGATGAAGCTCACGAGGTGTTGATCAGGAGCAAACGAGCCAACTCAGGCTGGTTTGAGGAGCTGAAGACGGGGAATCTGGAGCGCGAGTGTCTGGAGGAGAAATGCTCGTATGAGGAGGCGCGCGAGGTGTTCGAGCACACAGAGGCCACGGTCGGTACTACACTCTAATACACAACTCAGATATTCAGCGGCTCATTACACTGCTCTACACACTGCTAAATCTGTCTTGTTTCTAGTCCAAATATACCAAAGATTTCAGTGGTTGAAAGCAAACAATACGTATTGCCTTATTTCTGATCCAAATATCTAAACATTTTAAATCATGAAGCATTTTCTAGACAGCTAAAAATGCTCTCTCGTTTCCAGAAATAATAAATCAAAATGAGCTGAGTTTATCCTTAAAACAATTTATAATAAATATTATTTATAATATTTATATTTTATATAATAAATAATATTTGTTATTATTATATTACATTATTACGCTGAGAGATCTGAAATCTTTGGCATCTAAAACATGATTTAATTTCATAATGCTGATATAAACAAAGCCTCAAATACAGCAGTGGTATAACCGCAATAATGCACTCCTGTCCACTGAATTATTCTGAAATAGTGCACATGTGAGGTGCTGAAGCAGCCACAACGCCATTCAACAGTCAATTAATCCTGACTTAATATAATGTCGTGATATGCACCATGTGTTCTGAAAAAGTCTAACTGATGTCTCCGTACAGAATGAGTTCTGGAAGATCTACGATGGTGAGTGTTTGACGAACACAGCTCAGTGTGATCTTGTGGTCGTGTGTTTGAATGTGTTTGTGCTGGTCTGCAGTTAAAGATCACTGCGCATCCAGTCCATGTGAGCATGACGGCCTCTGCACCACACAGAACGCGGACTCCTACATGTGTTTGTGTGCGCCGGGCTTCAGCGGACGCCACTGTGAGCAATGTAAGACAACACTTGTACAATCATCTGAGTCAAATAAATATAGTTATTATTATAAATGACCAAATTAGACAAAGGAAATGATAATTATCCACCAATAGGAAAAGTGTGGGTGCAGTTTAAGATCAGATGGGATCAGTGAATAATGATGGATATGTTTCAAGAGTTCACTCTTAGATATGCTGAGCGTTTAAAGCAGGTTTGGGCCCGGGAGAGAACCCTGAGCTCGGAGATACTTGGGGATACCCAAGGCTCCCGTCTTATTTAGAGCTTGTTTCTAGTCCAAATATCAAAAAATATCAGTCAGCATTTTCCAGACAAGCACAACATATAGTCTCGTTTTCAGAAATAACGAGTCGAAATGAAGAGAGTTTCACTTTAAAACAAGCAGAATAATCTGCCAGTGAGGTGGGCAGAACAGCCTGATGTGGAAATGAAAACCGTGGTCATTTGGCTCGCAGCACTGGCAGATTCTCCGGCTTATCTTTTGGCTCTCTCTGTGTGAGGAACAGGAGATTTGAAGGAGAGTGCATCTTATCAGAGCTGAGAAACTCTCCAGTCCTTGAAGATCAAGAACAAACATTGCCATGATTCAGCCACAAAACATTCGTCCTTGTTCTCCTCAGCGATTGGAGACGTTACCGACTCCTGTCTGCATGATAACGGCGGCTGCGAACACTTCTGCACGGAGCAGGACGGATGGAGAAACTGCTCCTGCGCAGACGGCTATTACCTAGATAACGGCGGGCAGAAGTGCCGGAGTCACGGTGAGAACATCCCCAGCTCAAACACACTGATGATACACCAGGAGAACAAGCTCAGAGTTCTGTTCTAAACTCTTTTTGCTTTAAATAACTGCAGCCTTCGAGACACAACAAACAAACAAACAAACAAACAAACAAACTGTTTAAAAACTCCTGCTCAATATATCAGAACTGAACACATTAATGTGTGTCAGTGAGTGTGTGTGTGTGTGTTTCTGAGCTGTGTTTCAGTGTGAGTGTGTGTGTGTGTGTGTGTGTGTGTGTGTTTCAGAGGTGTTTCCGTGTGGGAAGGTTCCTCTCCTGCAGGCTGGAAAAGCTGCGGATCATCAGGTGGATCTCAGATCTCGTATCGTTGGAGGATCTGAATGTCCTAAAGGTCACTGTCCGTGGCAGGTACAGCAGAGGAGCACAGAACACACACACACGATTACAGCCACTCAGCGGGATACAGCTGTGTGTGTGTGTGTGTGTGTGTGTGTGTGTGTGCAGGTGCTGCTGAAGTACGGTGAGAAGGGTTTCTGTGGAGGTGTGATCTACAAGCCCACCTGGATCCTCACAGCTGCTCACTGCTTGGAAAAGCTCAAGGTCAAGTTCCTCAGGATAGTGGCAGGTAGACTTATGAATGTTGTATGGTTTAGTTTTTCACCGGGGTCATCTTGCCTTAAAGAGAAAATTCCCCCAAAAATGAAACCCAGGCTCATTCTGAAAACGTAGTCGCGTGGACATGTCAGGAGACCTCCCGGGAGGTATGTATTTTTGCAGTTTTTGTTTTCGTGAATGCGCTGTGTGCGCTTTTTCCTATCTCGAATGTCTCTCGCGAGTGTCGTTCGCGCACACTATTCTCATGTTAACCCACTAGAGGCCGCTGTCGACGACTGTCTGTCTGACTGGCAGGCCGACCAATCGACTGACCCACCCTCCTCCTCCCCTAAACCCAACCAATTTTACAGATTGACCAACGATTTACAAAAGCCGCCCAGAAAAGGAAAAGCCCTCGTCTGATTTTTACCACGTGTTCAGATTTCACCACATTCATCACCCTGCTGTTCACTCATTCATTTTGTTTTTTGGCTTCAGATTTTGTCTTACCTGATTTTTGGAACTGCTCTTCCTCGAACCCAGTCATCGCCAACTTCACTCCGCGTCTCAAGTCAACCAACATACACGATAAGCTAACTGGACAAACTGACTGCAGTAGGAAAGCCAGTCAGGTAAGCGGTCAGCTGGTAAGCGTGAAAAGGAACGGTGTCATACCGGCCTGTAGTGTTCGCTTAAAAAATGAAATGCAGCCATAATTCTCGGTCTCCAGAAACGTCCGCGGGACTGCGTTTTCAAAATGAGCCTGTGTTGCAAAAATGGGGAAAGTGTAATGGTCAACATGGTGAATGAAGCCCCGCCTTCTAGTACAGGAGCCAATCAGTGATCGTTATAGACTAAAGATTCTCTGGGGGAGGGGCTTGGAGCATGTGTGTGTGTTTAAGACAGTTTCTGCAGCTTCATTATGATCCTCTGAAGTTGACAAACATGCTGTTATCTCAGAAAATACTTGCTATATATGTAATTACATCCACATAAAGCTTGAAATCTCTCTTTTAAACCAAACAACGAGACGTGAAAATAAGTGTTTCTAGGTTTTGTAATCTGTTTGAAACAAATGTCAGGTACAGTCTGTCCTGTCAAACGCACATCACATGACAGAAACCGCTCAAACACCCACAAACTTGTAAACAAAGAGCTTTAAAATGCTGATTTAGTGTGATTCAAACGTTTAGAAATGAATCCTACAGGCACAGGACGAAAACATGACGTCATATTGACGCTGCACTCCGACATCGGGGAGACGTTAGATTATGTTTGGAAATGAAAATCGGGTTGACGCCAGAATGCAATGTCAGGCTGACGTCAATGTCCAACATCTAACCTCAAATCAACCTTAAATCAACTAAATATCAACATCTATTCATGTTTTACACTGACGTTGTGTGGACATTACCACTTTGACATCTACCAGACGTTGGATTTTGGTCACTTTCCAACACAACCTACAATTAACCAAATATCAACATAATTTCAACGTCATTAATGGACAAGAAAATATTGCGGTCCTTAGACGATGGCTAGACATTGAATTTTGGTCACCTGACGTCACGAACTAAATCTATCCTAATATTAACGTCTGATGATGTCGTGTGTCTGCTGTGAGGAGAGAGCTGGTGATTCCTAATGTGAAGTTTAATCGTAAGCTTGTTCACCTACAAAATGCTTCTTGATTTTTTTTTTTAGATATTTGGGTTAAAAGCAAGACAAAATTTAGGTAAGAAAGCATTTTTTGCAGTGTTGATGCAGTGTGTGTGTGTGTGTGCAGGTGAGCATGATCTGGAGGTGGACGAAGGCACGGAGCAGCTCATCCAGGTGGATCAGATGTTCACACACCCTGCGTACGTGTCTGAGACAGCGGACAGTGACATCGCCCTGCTGCGTCTGCGCACCCCCATCGTCTACAGTGTGTATGCGGTGCCGGTGTGTTTGCCGCTGCGGGAGATGGCGGAGCGCGAGCTGTGGGCGGTCAGCAAACACACGGTGAGCGGCTGGGGCAAACGCAGCGAGGACGGGCCGACCTCTCGTCTGCTGCGCCGGCTGCTGGTGCCGCGCATCCGCACGCAGGAGTGTGTGCAGGTCAGCAACCTCACGCTCACCAGCAACATGTTCTGCGCCGGATACATCGAGGGCCGGCAGGACTCCTGTAAGGGTGACAGCGGCGGCCCGCTGGTGACCCGGTACCGAGACACCGCCTTCCTACTGGGCATCGTGAGCTGGGGGAAAGGCTGCGCTCGCCCGGGCTCCTACGGCATCTACACACGCGTCTCCAACTACCTGCAGTGGATCCGACAAACAACCAACACCACGATACACTGATGAAGACATGACCCATGTGCATATCTCATCAAGATTGCTACTCTTAGGTGAACAATTAACAAATATTAACTATTATAGTTAATGTTTGTTAAAAATAGCACAATTATATTGAAAATAAAAAATATTTATATTAATTATGAAGACGGTGTTATAGCCCAAAATACCCAATAGTTGAGCATCAGCTGCTTTCCTGAGATCCTGTACATATTAGACTCAGATCTGATATTTTGCGCAGGTTATATTGCATTTTTAGCAGGTATTTAATGATTTTGCTCTGATTAATCAGGAGATGTGCAGCTCATTATCTCCATATTATTAATGCTCAACTGTAGTAAACACTCGCTTTACATAAATCCAAAACCAGCCAATAAATATCAGCGCATCCCTATTTAACGCTTGTGTTCATGTCTGATGATCTTCTGTTGTGTGTATTCTCTCAGTGGCTTGTCCATCACTGTCTCATTATCCAATAAATAATGCAGATGTGATTCTATACGTCTGTGTGTGTTTGTGTTGTCATCATCATATCTCTCTATGCTGTTGATTACAGTCATCAGGCTTTTATTGGCCAATAGATTCAGCAACATTTTCAGTAATTTACATGTTATTATAATTCAATATTTTCTGTGTGAACTAGAGGTGAAGGCTAAAAATGGAAATATTGTTGACACCATTGGCCTAGTGGTTAGAGCGTCGATGCTACAGCGCTCACATGGACCTGAGTTCAATTCCCGGCTTGAAGTCCTTCCCTTCCCTTCCCACACTTTCCTGTCAGTAATCTCCACTGTCCTGTCTATTAAAGATGAACCCCCCCCCCCCCCCCCCACCCCCAAAATATTTTAAAACGTTAATATTTGTAGATTGTATGACTGATGGGTGACCCAGTGGGTAGCACGTTCGCCTCACAGCAAGAAGGTCGCTGGGTCGATCCTTGGCTCAGTTGGCGTTTCTGTGTGGAGTTTGCATGTTCTCCCTGCGTTCTCCGGGTGCTCCGGTTTCCCCCACAGTCCAAACACATGCGGTGCAGGTGAATTGGGTAGGCTAAATTGTCCGTAGTGTATGAGTGTGTGTGTGTGTGTGTTTGTATGTGTGGATGTTTCCCAGAGATGGGTTGCGGCTGGAAGGGCATCCGCTGCGTAAAAACTTGCTGGATAAGTTGGTGGTTCATTCCGCTGTGGCGACCCCAGATTAATAAAGGGAATAAGCCAACAAGAAAATAAATGAATGAATGTATGACTGACAAAAACAACTGTTTATTAAAGCATAATTAAAGTTTATATCCAAGCTAGTTTTCTCATTTGAAGATGTTTTTTCATTGGGAGTTGAGAAGAGTCTTGGTTAAAGTGGACTAAACCAACCAGAACATAATGACAAGACTTCTGAACTACAATCCTCATGAAGCACTGCCAATGAAGCCATTCAATTGAAATATGGAAATAAATGTTTATCTACAGTTCACCCAGAAAAGCTCCCCGTTGACTTCCTCCAAACCTGTTTGTGTTTCTTTATTCTGTTGAACACCAAAAATCAGACATTGACTTGAATTGTATGTGTTGTTCCGACTATACATGAACATTCTTCAGAATATCTGACTTTGTGTTCAACAGAAGCCCATACAGGTTTAGAATCACTTGAGTCTGAGTAAACAGTGAGAGAATTATCCCTTTAGGGTGAACTAACCAACACAGGCTCATTCTGAAAGCGTAGGCCTGTATTCATTTCTGGAGGTAGAAAATTATGCAGCCAGACGAACGCATTTCATCTTTAAAACGAACGCTATGAGGTGGTATGACACTGTTCCTTTTCATGCAAGCAGCTGACCTCTTTCCTCTGTATGGACGGCGTTCGCACTGTTATTAGTTTGCCCGGTGGCTCACTGTGTACGTCAGTGGACTTGAGATGTAGAGAGGAGTTGACTACGACAACAGGGTTCAAGTCTAGTGAAGAACGGTTCCAGAAAGCAGATAAGACAAAAGACTAAAAATAAAATAAACAAGTAAATAACAGGGTGAGAATGAGGAGATGGAAAATGTGGTAAAGATCTGGTGGCCGTGAGGGCTTTTCTTTTTGTGGATTGCTTTTGAAAACACTGTTGGTTGGGTTTAGGGATGGAGGAGGAAGGGTCAGTTGATCAGTCAGTCAGCGGCCTCTGGTGGATTCAGCAGACATGAACGGCACTCGCAACAGAAATTTGAGATCTCAAAAAGCATACACACACAGCTGAAAACGTAGCTCCTGGGACGCATTTCAGGGTCTCCACAAATGTATACAGGGGTACATATTCAGAGTGAGGCTGGGTTAGAACTAACTAGAAGAAAGTGAAAGAAAGTGTTTTTCTTTCCAAAGCAACTGCTGATCTGTGTGTGTGAGTGTCTTTGTGCAAGTGTGTCTGTGAGCCTCAGTCTGTTGTGTGTGTGTGTGTGTGTGTGTTTGTGCAGTAATCAGTGTGTGTGTGTTGTGAGCAGGCTGAGGTCAGTGACCCTCTGAGCGCTTCATTCAGACAGAATCATGAGGGTTGGAGCCGCTGCGGTGCTGCTGTGTGTGCTGACACTCCGCTCGACCAGCGCCGGTAAGATCATGCAATATTTACATTTAATCATTTAACAGACGCATAAAAGCATTTAGCAGAACACCAGACATGCCGTCACCTGTCTAAGTTCGGTTAGCAGTTGTTCATATATACATTAATTAACATGGTAATCAATGACTGGTGCGAAATCCCTGACGAACTGCAAGAATCTAGAATAATCCTGCTGTCAGGAGTGTTATAAGCCTGCAGTTCCAGCGTTATGCATGTGACATTTGCATTAAAAACTTAAAACTTAAATTGACAGACACTCTACAGGTTAACAGCAGCATACTGACACATCTGATCATATTGTCCAAAACAACTGACCACAGATCAGACAATATCAGTCAGGGTTTAGTCTACAACACTCATGTGGAAATTCTGTTAATTAAACTGCACAACTCAAACGACACAAGACTAATCACAAGCAGAAGCTCTCTCTCTCTCTCTCTCTCTCTCTCTCTCTCTCTGTGGAACTCAAATCATGTGTTTTATTTTGCATTTTGACATTTAAAAGGTAAAAGCTTTGTTATGGATGTGACAGACTGGCGCTTTGATAAATAAATTAAAATGTTTAGAAAATGTTGACAGACATGTGTGAGTATATTTACAGTACTGCGAAACACAAGAGTAAACAAACAACTTAGAAAGGCTTTCATTAAACCAAACATTTGTGATTATGCTGTTCATTAGTAAATATTTGCGCATATATATTCATAAAACACACATATATATGCAACTTTATATATTAACTATTATATGATGTATGTTCTATAATAACATATATGTTCATATCTGCAATTCCAATAGTTCCAATAGTTCCAAAAATGTATATGCAAGTAGCATATGTTGCATATGTGACCCACATGAACTGCAAATATAAACTAGTGTCAAATCTGTAACTTGCATTTATAGTTGAAGTCAAATTTATTATCCCTCCTGTTTTTCCCCCCCAGTTTCTGTTTAACAGAGAGCAGATTTCTCCAACACATTTCTAATCATAATAGTGTTAATAACTCATCTCTAATAACTGATGTATTTCCTGTTTGTCATGATGACAGTAAATAATATTAGATTAGATATTCTTCAAGACACTTCTATACAGCTTAAAGTGACATGTAAAGGCTTCACTAGGGTAATTAGGGTAAATAGGCAGGTTAGGGTAATTAGGCAAGTCATTGTATAATGATGGTTTGTTCTGGAGACTATCGAGAAAAAATATAGCTTAAAGGGGCGAATAATATTGACCCCTAAATGTTTAATAAATAAAAATAAAAAGAAATTAAAAATAAAAAAACACTTTTATTCTAGCAGAAATAAAAAAATCTGACTTTCTCCAGAAGAATAAATATTATCAGACACACTGTGAACATTTCCTGAATCTGTTCAAAATCATTTGGGAAATATTTAAAAAAGGAAACAAAAATCAAAGAGGGGCGAATAATTCTGACTTCATTGCAATATTTTGTGGTGTTTTCAGTGTTTCTCAGTAAAGATGAGGCCAGTGCGCTTCTCCAGCGCTTCAGACGCGCAAACTCCGGCTTTCTGGAGGAGATGAAGGCTGGAAACCTGGAGCGCGAGTGTGTGGAGGAGATCTGCGACTATGAGGAGGCGCGCGAGGTGTTCGAGGACGACGACAGGACGGTACCACACACACACACACTCCATATCTAAAACCATCACTTCTCCATATCTAACAGCATCACCACATCTTAATCACTGCCGCTTTCTCTGCTTGTGTCTTGCAGAAACAGTTCTGGTTGAGTTACTCCAGTGAGTTCTGTCCGAGCGCACGTGACCCGTTACCATGGCAACCGTAGTTTCCTACATAAATCTGAGGGAGATTAAAACACTACAGGTCTAATGGCTAAATGCATGAAGAAAGTGACGTATAAGTGCACACGCAGAATTCTGCAGATTTTTAGCCCATCATTGATCATCTGTTTATTTACTTGAGTAAATGTGTGTAAATCTATATTTATTCAGTTTTTAAATTAATTTCAGTAATATTATAGATGAATATGAAAATGTTCCTATAGTTTATTTACAATACAGCTTTATATAATACAGCATGTTATATAGAAGACTTGTTTACCAAAGTAAGAGTTTACCAAATCAAGTGGACAACTGGATTTGCATTGTAAACATTAAATACAAGTTAAAAAGGTAACAAGATTATTATTCTTAAGATTATTCTGCTTGTGTTCATTAAAAACTCATTTCATTTTGAATCATTATTTCTGAAAAAAAGACAATTTACACTGCAAAAAATGCTTTTCTTATTTAGATTTTTGTCTTGTTTTTTTCTCCAAATATCAGAAATGTCTTATATTAAAAAGCATTTTCTAGGCAAGCAAAACATGTTGTCTGGTTTTAAGATATAATAAGCCAAAATTAAATGAGTTTTTCCTTAAAACAAGCAAAACAATCTGCCAATGGAGAAAGCAGAATAATCTTGCTTTTTCTTTTGGCGTTAGATTATTTTTCTAACCCTATTGGCAGATTATTTAGCTTGTTTACAGGAAAAACTCATTTAATATTGGCTTATTTTATCTTAAAACTAGACATTATGTTTTGCTTGCTTAGAAAATACTTCTAGATATAAGAAGTTTGGGATATTTGAACTATGAACAAGGCAAAACAATCTAAATAAGTAAAGCATTTTATGGGTTTTGCTTGTCTAGAAAATTCTTCTTGGTTAAATAATTGTGAGATATTTGGACTCGAAACAAGACAGAAACAGAAACATTTCATTAATTTTCTGGGTTCATCAACTAGTCTGAGTATAGGATATTCTATTAACAATCTCCATACCAATGTTGGTCTTCATATGTCACTTTTTTAAAGCATTAAGTCCCATTAGGCATTTATTTATCTCGTTATATGGGAGGAAAATGCCTGAAGTACTCATAATCTGCTGTAGCTACACTTCAATAAACTGCATACTGAATTTACAAATACCTTTCAGTCATGGTAAGTGTTTAGAAATGTAAATGACTACTGGATCATCAGTGTTAGAATCTCTCAGATGTATTCTCCTGACATTACGGGTGTTTCATTAATTGTGTTGTTTTATCGATGACCGTGTATAACAGACACTGGTCAAAGTTAAGCAGGGAGTTCTGATGTTGTTTGCAGAGTTGAATTCCCGGATTACAGCCGTATCTATTGATCGAAAGTCAAAGATTGTGTTTGTTCATCAGCTGTTTGCTTGAACTCTGTTTAAAGGTACAGTTCACCCAAAAATGAAAATTCTGTCATTACATACAGTCCTCAGCCTCGGGTGGTCCAAACACAGCTTTCATTCCTCTGTTGAACACAGCAGAAGATATTCAGAAGAACATTGCAAAGCAGTAGCCATCGACTTCCATAGTACATTTATTTTTCCTGCTATGGATGTCGAGGTTTAGCAGTTGCCAATTAACAAAACAAAAAATATAATGAAGACTTGAAGACATTTTGATTGTTCTGTAAATCATTCTTCAGAATATCTTGGGTGGAACAGCTGAATATACATTTGTGAGTGAACTGTCCTCTTAAATGAAATGTTCTGATTGTTTTTGTGTGTAAAAGACAAGGAGCCCTGCTTGACCAACCCGTGCAGGAACAACGGCACCTGCGTCTATCTGGCCGACAGCTACTACTGCCTGTGCTCTGAGGGCTACGAGGGCAAATACTGCGAAAAAGGTGTGTGAACATGTCGACAGCACAGGCCTGTTCCGTTTAGTGAAGATGCATTAATGTGTTCAAGAGTAACTGGAACCATTTTCAGCTCAGCGATCAGAGAAGAGGCATGAAGTGATCATCTGTAAGCAGCAGAGCGCTCATAAACGCTGGTGTGTTTCTGTGCTCAGGCCTCGAGGAGACGCTGAAGTGTCAGTATGTGAACGGAGGCTGTGAGCAGTTCTGTGACGGCTCCGGGGCCCGCCGCTCATGCAGCTGTGCGGAGGGATACGCTCTGGCGGATGACGGGACGTCCTGCGTCTCTCAGGGTACTGCAGGGGGAAATCTGCTAATGATAGATCAATACGCTTCACATGTTCTGCTAATGATAGACTGGGTTTATCTTAAAGTCACCATGAAATGGAAGTTAAGACTGTCCTTACTTCTGCTATTGTGATGCAATGATAGCTCCGCCCTAAAGCACGGATGGCCACGCCCCCTAAATAAATATTCATGCCCTAAATATGGATTTCACATTTATTAAAATGCCATATATTTAAATATTGCAAAAATGGCCATTTATAATTATTATTTTTTCTCAACCTTATGAATTACAATTGGAATCAAACTCGAGTGGCTGTGAGACCACAGTACTGTGTGTTAACGCAATAACAAAGTAATATTAAAGGCACACATGCTCAAATAAATGAACTATAATTTCATATATAGTCAAATATGGCCATGTATGAGATTTTTGTATGGGTTAACCTCCAAACTACTCTTTCAGATAAGACATTTCAAGACAGAAATCCAACATTTCTCTCGCCAACTCTTCACTTTCTGCTTTAAATGTGTTTTATTTCAATCCACAGTTGATTATCCGTGTGGAAAGATTCCTGTGCAGAAAAACACTTCTCAGAATCAGTTCCTGGGTGGAATTCACTGTCCCAGAGGTCACTGTCCATGGCAGGTAACACCCCACATCGACACTCCCTACAGTGGTCCACTTTTACAGTCCAATTGAAGGAGTGAAGCGAGTGGAGCACTACTGAGTGCACTAAAGGGATGTGTCGTGTTTCCCTCAGACACTCAGAGCAGTCTATGTGTAATGAAACACACACTGTTGATGTCTGTCATGTTTTAAGCTGTAATGTTAAAGGAAACACAGGAATTAGGTTGGAATTAGCCAGTCTGCTCTGTGTTCTGATTGGCCAGCGGTGTCATCTTATTATTCCACTACGCCTAAGTACTGCACATTTTCTTTATAGGGCACCTTTTATCAAGAGCTGCTGCAACGCCACCCAGGTGATGAATGCTGAGCTTCACCTGTGTGCAGGTGCTGATCGACTATAATGGCGAGAGTGTGTGCGGGGGGGCTCTGCTGGAGGGACCCTGGCTGATCACTGCGGCCCACTGCGTTCATCAGAAGGACACCAGGTTCCTCAAGGCCGTCACGGGTAATAACAGCAGATACATGAATAAATAATCATCTTTAAAATAACTGTATTCTGCTTCCCCCACTGGCAGATCATTAAGCTTATTTTAAGAAAGAAACTGACTCATTACTTCTGAAAACAAGACTATACGTTTTGCTTGTCTACAAAATGCTTCTTGATTTAAGAATTTGTAGATATCTGGACTAGAATGAGGATAAAACTAAGTAAGAAAAGTATTTTACACTGCACTTGCTTGATTGTGTGAACTAACCCTTTACACTGCAAAAAAATAATGTCTTACTCAGAGTTTTTGTCTTGTTTCTCGTCCAAATATCTGCAAATTCCTAAATCAAGAAGCATTTTATGTTATTTTACAGAAATAATATGACACGTTAGTTTTCCTTCAAAAAAGATAATGAACCTTCCAATGGGGTGAGCTGAATAATCTCATGTCCAAAGAAAAAACTAGATTATTTCACTTTTCCCATTGGCAGATTATTTAGTTTGCACTATATAATAACACTGACAGACAATATTAATCTAAAATGATTCATCTGCTTCTTGATTTAGGAATCTTTAGATATTTGACCCTGAAGCTAGAACAGCGTTTCTTGCCGTCTGCTTTTAATATCTGTGTGAACTGACCCTTTATAAGCCCTCGGTCAGTCTGATGTCTGGTGTGTCCTCAGGTGAGCATGACCTGGATGTTCTGGACGGTTCAGAGGAGCCGTATGAAGTGTCTGCTGTCTTCATACATCCGAATTATGACCCTGAGACTCTGGACAGCGATCTGGCCCTCCTCCGGCTCCGTGTGCCCGTGCAGAGATCCTTATACGCCGTGCCCATCTGTCTGCCCACCCCGCAGCTGGCACGCAGTGAGCTCTGGGCTGCCCGCTTCCACACGCTCAGCGGATGGGGCACTCGCACCGCAGGACACAATCTCCGGCGGGAAAAGGGTCTTAAAGGGCCGGCGTCCGGGACCCTGCAGCGGCTGGCAGTCCCTCTGCTGCCCGCCGCGCAGTGTGGCAACGCTAACACCACTGCTAACATGTTCTGTGCGGGCTACACCGAGGGCGACCACGCGTCCTGCAGAGGCCATGACGGCAGCCCTCTGGTCACCCGCTATGGGGAAACATCCTTCCTCACCGGTGTGGTGTCCTGGGGCAGAGGCTGCGGGCCGCCCGGATACTACTGGATCTACACTAAAGTGGAGAACTTCCTGATCTGGATGGACACGGTTATGAAGACAAACACTGAAGATAAGAGCGAGCAGATTGCTAATGTCTCCACTAAAAATTGATGATTTAGTCCTAAAACAGATTAAAATGGCTGTGATTTCTGTGATGAGGTTTGCTTTAAGAAGGAAAATATGAGTTATGTGGAAGTAAAGAGCCCTCAAACTCTTTACTTCCACCCTCATTCTGGATGGATAAATGCATATATAAATATAATTAATAAACATATAAATCTTAGTATCATATTATGAAAACAGACACTGATCATAAGCGTCTTCCTAAAGGTTAATTAATCTTCTGATGATGTGGCCAGAAAACAAAGATTAAAACGGTCATGTCTGTCTGTCTTTGTGATTCGGTTTGCTTTGCTCGTGATGAACGCATCAGTGCTGATTTGTAGTGAAATAAATCCCTCTGAGTGTGTGTGTTTGTGTGTTTGTGTCATGTCTGCAGGGTTGTGTTTTGTCTGACAGTCATTAACTGAGACTGTATTGATTCTCCAGTGCAGATGTTGCTTTGCTCTAATCATACACCAGACGTGACCCTATCAGGGGTTTATTGTAAATTTGCTGAGCTATTTACACATAATGACAAATAAATAATAGCTAACAGGTTCTGTAGGTTATTACATGGCTAAAAAGAGTTCTGGACTTGTTTCTGGTCCAAATATTGAACTATTCTCAAATCTACAAGCATTTTCTAGACACACAAAAAATATTGTCTTGTTTTCACAAATAATGAGTCAAAATTTAGCAAGTTTTTGATTAAAACAAGCAAAATAATCTGTCAGTGGGGTACGAATAATAATCTTATGTCAAAGCAAAAACAAGATTACTTTTCTCACCAATTGGCAGATTATTTTGCTTGTTTTAAGGAAAGAAATAACCTTATTTCTGCTAGTAATCTCGCATGTGATTCATAAGTAGCCCAATTGCATTGCCATAAATGTAATCTATATGTAATCCAAAAGTATTCCAATTGTATTGCCATAAAAGTAATCCAGATGTAATCCAAAAGTAGTCCAATTCTATTGCCATAAATGTAATATATATGAAATTCAAAAGTAGTTTGATTGTATTGCCATAAAGGTAATCTAAATGTAATCCAAAATTAGTCCAATTGTATTGCCATAAAAGTAATCCAGATGTAATCCAAAAGTAGTCTATTTGCATTGGACATGTAATCCAAAAGTAGCCCAATTGCATTGTCATAAATGTAATCAAAATATAATCCAAAAGTAGAGCAAATGAACTCCTGTTGAGGCTCTTGTTGATGATAAAGGATGAAGATATTTTGTTTTTCTATCTGTCAAAACAGAACAAGATTATTCTGCTTCAATATATGTGACGTCAAAAAAGGTAAGAGAAAAAGTAATTTACATGTAATCTAAAACTAGTCTGATTGCATTGTCATAAAAGTAATACAAATGTAATCCATAAGTAGTCACATATTGTGTGGTCACTGAAATTAATCATTTGTTAAAATGTACTAATTGTGTAAATACATGCAAGTAATTACATCTTTAATAAATTTCTTTAATTACACTGTTAACCATCCCTTACACCTTAAAACTACCCAGCCTGTCCTTAACCCAACGCGTATCCCACCTCAAGAGCACTAGAAGTGTTCTACAATACATTAACATATGTACGTACATTATATTGTATATTATATTTAATGTAAGTATATAGTGGTTAAGGCCACTTAATATAAAGTGGGTCCTAAAAATCTAAATATAATACAAAAGTAGTCAGATTACATTACCATAAATTAGTCATGTAAGAGATTATATTACTGACTACACATTTTGTTACCTAATTTATTAATGCTTTTCTTACTCCGAGTTTTTGTCTTGTTTCAAGTCCAAATATCTAAAATGTCTTAAATGAAGGAGCATTTTCTAGACTAGCAAAATACTGTCTTTTTTATTAAATAATGAGTCAAATTAAGAGAGTTTCTCCTTAAAACAAGCAGAATAATCTGCCAGTGGGAGAAGTAAATTGATAAAAATTTTATTTGAAGTAAGTTTAATTTGTCAGATTGTTCTGCTTGTCTTAAAGCAAACCTCACTCAATTTTGACTCATTATTTCTGAAGTCATTTAGCTCTCATCTAGAAAATGCTTCCTGATTTTAGAATATTTAGATATCCGGACTAGAAACAAGGCAAAAACTCTGAGTAGGGAGCATATTTTGCAGTGTGATGAGTGATCGGCCAGCTCTGGTCTGCGTCTCTGTAAATCTCCAGTATAGATAAGCTCAGACGTGTTCATATTCTCCAGTTTCATGATTGCGAGCGCTGCTGTTTCTCCATTTCTCCTCCCCCTGTTCCTCTGTTTCTCTTTCTCCCTCCCAGCTCTCAGTTCATTGACCTTCTCTCTGTTTTCTGAACGATCTTTTAAAGTGAAAGAGTGGACGCCGACACCGACCATGTCTTGGGTTTTCTGGAACTTTATATCTTTGTTTGTCACCCACAGTGTGTGTGCAGAAGGTGAGTGTGCTGTGGTGTTTACGTTCTCAAGCTGAAGTTCTGAGCGCTCCTCTTGGACTCTTTCTGACATGTTAGTTTGTTGTTTTGAGACTTAATCAATGCGATGTTCAATGATCAACATGACACAACACTCTGTTGATGATAATGATGTTTTGCAGTCTTCCTCAACACTCGAGATGCTAATCAGGTTCTGATTCGTCAGCGGCGCGCAAACTCCTTGTTCGAGGAGATGAAGAAGGGGAACATGGAGCGCGAGTGCATTGAGGAGCGCTGCAATTATGAGGAGGCCAGAGAAATCTTCGAAGATGTTAAAAAGACGGTCGGTGAATTGCTGATTCAAATTAGAATTGTTGGCTGAAATGGCATTTTTGTTTTTCAAAAATATGAGCTTGAAAATATGGGTGTTGACTGTTGAGCGCTGGAATCACAATATTTCCAGTCATAATCACTGTGCAATGTAAAGGGGCTTTCACACTGGGTGCAGAAAGCGATGCGCTATGAAACCCGTTAATTTATTCACACAGCCCAACTCATTCCACTGTGTGATTATTCTGCTCTTACTGCAAAAATGCTTTTCCTACTTAGTTTTTGTCTTGTTTATAGTCAAGATATCTAAACATTCTTAAATAAAAAGCATTCTTTAGACAAGACACTGTGCACTGTAAGGCAGCTCTCACACTGGACGCAGTAAGCGATGCAAAACCTATTTATTTCAATGTGCCATGCAAGGGTATTTTGTTGTCATGCCGACCAAAATGCAAGAGCATCGTAACACCACTGAATTGCGTGCACCGTGGTCGCATTCCAAAATAACTCATTCTGCTGTGTGGATATGACCATGCTGCGAAAGTCACGTGACATGACTTTAATTATTTCCATGTGAATCATTTCCACAAAATTGGGCTTTGCAGAGATATAAAAGCAGACTGCTGGAACGTTGCCAGGATGTGATGGAATAATAGTTATTATCAATTATTGCTTTTTCGTAACGTTGGAGACCAAAATTAATTTCGATTAAATGCAAAGCCCTAATCTGAACAGTGGATTTAGGTGTGGAAGCCAGAATATAAGCTGAATAATGCACTCCTGGCCACTGCATTATTATAACATAATGCACATCACAACCTCGAGGTGCATCCTTTTCTATTAATTACGAGTCAAAGTTAATTATTATTCCTTATAAACCATTTAAATTAATATCAAACACTACGCCTGCATCTGATGGTCAGTGTGTGTGTGTGTGTGTGTGTGTGTGTGTGTTCTGTTTCTTTCTTCAGGATGAGTTCTGGCACAAGTATGTTGGTGAGTGTCTATACGGATCCTTCAGTTCAGCTTGTTGTTAATAGTAAAGTCATGCAAGAGATTTTGTGCATGGAAATAGCGAACACATTAGCAGATTCTGCATTGTAAACCTTAAATAAAAAATACAAAAATATTACTTTATGTTTAGTTACTAAATTCTAAAATTGATTCCACGTAAATTTGCATATCTTGTTGTGTGTTTTTGTTTTGTGTTTTCTCTGCAGATGGAGATGCGTGTCTGTCTCACCCGTGTGTCAACGGTGGCCAGTGTAAAGATGCGATCGGGCCGTACACGTGTTTCTGTCAGCAAGGGTTCAAGGGCTACAACTGCGAGATCGGTAAAGAGCCATGCGAAGACCTGTAACACTACATCTGCATTATAACACACTCCTTCTGCATTAAAACAAACTCTGTCTACATTAAAATACACTCCAGCAGCATTATAACACAATCATCAGCATTGTAACACTCCATCTGCATTATAACACACTCTGTCTGCATTATAATACAATTGTCAGCTTTTTAACACCCAACAGCGTTATAACACACTCCAACTGCATTATAACACACCCAGTAGCATTATAACACACTTCGACTGCATTATAACACACTGCATCTGTATTATAACACACCCAGTAGCATTATAACACACTCCGACAGCATTATAACACACCCAGCAGCATTATAACACACTTCGACTGCATTATAACACACTGCATCTGTATTATAACACACCCCATCTACATTATAACACACTCCATCAGCATTATAACACACCCAGCAGCATTATAACACACTTCGACTGCATTATAACACACTCCATCAGCATTATAACACACCCAGTAGCATTATAACACACTCCATCAGCATTATAACACACCCAGTAGCATTATAACACACTCCATCACTGCATCTGTATTATAACACACCCCATCTACATTATAACACACTCCATCAGCATTATAACACACCCAGCAGCATTATAACACACTTCGACTGCATTATAACACACTCCATCAGCATTATAACACACCCAGTAGCATTATAACACACTCCATCAGCATTATAACACACCCAGTAGCATTATAACACACTCCATCAGCATTATAACACACCCAGTAGCATTATAACACACTCCATCAGCATTATAACACACCCAGCAGCATTATAACACACTCGATCAGCATTATAACACACCCAGCAGCATTATAACACGCTTCGACTGCATTATAACACACTCCATCAGCATTATAACACACCCAGTAGCATTATAACACACTCCATCAGCATTATAACACACCCAGTAGCATTATAACACACTCTGTCAGCATTATAACACACTCAGCAGCATTATAACACACTTCGACTGCATTATAACACACTGCATCTGTATTATGACACACCCCATCTTCATTATAACACACTCAGCAGCATTATAACACATTCTGACTGCATTATAACAAACTCAGCAGCATTATAACACACTCCATCAGCATTATAACACACTCTGTCCGCATTATAACACACTCAGCAGCATTATAACACACTTCGACTGCATTATAACACACTGCATCTGTATTATGACACACCCCATCTTCATTATAACACACTCAGCAGCATTATAACACATTCTGACTGCATTATAACACACTCTGTCAGCATTATAACACACTCAGCAGCATTATAACACACTCTATCAGCATTATAACACACTCTGTCCGCATTATAACGCACTCCGTCAGCCCCATTCACAGCTTTACTCATTTCTGCAGTGATTCCTGAACTCTGCGAGAATGAAAACGGAGGCTGTGATCATTTCTGTGAGGTGATGGAGAAGAATGTGGTCTGCTCGTGTGCTAATGGATATGAACTGGCCCCCAACGGGAAATCCTGCCAGTCTCAGGGTGGGTTTAAATGTGAATGAGATGTTAATTAAATGATATCCTCCATATTATTATTAAGATAAATCCCATTTATTATCATACGGAGCATTATTACTGATGTATTGCCAATGATATCACCCGTCCCTGTTTTAGATCCATTCAAATGTGGCGTCATTTATCCAAAGAAGACCAGAAGCATCTTCTTCCACACGCCGAACATCACCGAAAGCGAGAACGAAGAAGAGACGGAGCTGGAGGCCACCATAGAGCCGGTCTACAACCACTCGAACCCACTGAACAACCAGACCGACAGCATGTTCGGGCTCCACGAGCTGGAGATTATCGAGGAGGAACCAATCCTACCGGTGGTGTCCACAGCCGGAGACGGGAGGATCGTGAACGGTGTGGAGTGTCCACCTGGAGACTGTCCATGGCAGGTAACACAGACTTGTGTGCTGTTCAGATTGACTCCCCTCTGGTGATGCTGGTGCTGTTTTTGCCCCACTGATGCCATTTTAATCACATTTATTGATTGCATAGTCCTGACAGCAGATAATCCATGCATTATTGGCTGTTGCTGGTTTTCCCTGTTGGGATTAGGAGGTAACACGTGTAATTTGTCAGCATTCACCCTTCAGACTGGCCTGTGCTGTTTCTGTCTTTTATCTGGAGGTCAGTGGAGTACACCAGCAGATGATAGTGTGTGTGCAGGAATACACTCCCTGTGTTTACTGTGTTCTGACAGCTGAGGGGAGGATTTTCAGATTCTCAGACGCATCAAGGTAACTGTGCAAAGGTGATCAACTGATGATCAACTCTGAAATGACAGCTGTTACTTCTTCTCAACAGGGAAATCCAGCAAAAGTCAACAATGCATGATTATATGCGGTCACAGAATGACCTCTCTTCATTAGCTCGATGCTGTAAGCAGTAATGAAGCGTGTCTGAAATGAGTGTGTAAACGCTGTTCTCTCAGGCTCTCCTCATCAATGAAAATAACATGGGCTTCTGTGGCGGCACCATCCTGACCGAACACTTCATCCTGTCGGCCGCGCACTGCATGAACGAGTCGCTCTCCATCAGGGTGGTTGTAGGTATGAGCATTTATTCTGAGGTCACGCACACTACATGCAAGATGAAGCGCAGGGAGAAGCGTAATACTTACCGGCCGTTTACAGCTGGCCTCTTCATGTGTTTTTTCTGGCGGGTCAGCTATGGGAACGCATTCGAGACGGATGTACAGTGAATATGAGCACTTTAACTTCAGGAGGTGTTTTCTAGATGTAACTGCCTTTAAAAGCTCAGCACATTTTACTCCTCTCAAAATGAAAACATAAATGTGATGTATTTGACACTTTACTCAACGTAATCTAGCTGAATAATTAATAATAATAATGAACAGAGAACAATTAATAATAACATTAAGACTGCACACGTTCATTATGGTGATATATTAAACATATTCCTCATGCTTGTGTTTTTCTGTCAGGTGAGTACGACACGCTGGTCCCTGAGGGTCGCGAGGCCACGCATGATGTAGATGAGATTCTGATCCACAAGAACTACCAGCCTGACACCTACCACAACGACATCGCCCTCATCAAGCTCTCGAAACCCATCAAATTCACCAAATACATCATCCCCGCGTGTCTGCCGGAGATGAAGTTCGCTGAGCGTGTGCTGATGCAGCAGGATGACGGTCTGGTGAGCGGGTTCGGCCGCGTGCGTGAGGGAGGCCTGTCGTCCACCATCCTGCAGAAACTAACCGTGCCGTACGTCAACCGCGCTAAATGCATCGAGTCCAGCAATTTCAAGATCTCCGGCCGCATGTTCTGCGCCGGATACGACCAGGAGGAGAAAGATGCATGTCAGGGGGACAGCGGCGGGCCGCACGTCACGCGCTTCAAAAACACCTGGTTTATCACAGGTGTGGTGAGCTGGGGCGAAGGGTGCGCGCGCAAGGGGAAATACGGCGTCTACACACAGGTCTCCAAATACATCATGTGGATCAATAACGCAATGACGAAAGTCATGCCAGAGACCGGAGCGTCTTTAAAACCCAAAGCAAAGCGAGAGCTGCGGCACAAGACACCAATAAGAAGAGTCTGACTCCTCTGAGGAAAGCCTCATCTTTCATATGCATTTAATTACTCAGTCCACTAACAGCACAGGGCTCAAACTCAACTCCTGGAGGGCCGCTGCTCTGCACAGTTTTGCTCCAACCCTACTCAGACACACCTGATCCAGGTAATCAAGGTGTTCAGACTACTCTGAGTGGATCAGCTGTGTTTGAGTAGGGTTGGAGCAAAGCTGTGCAGAGCTGCAGCCCTCCAGGAGTTGAGTTTGAGCCCTGTGCTTTAAGGGAGAGTTCACCCAAAAGTTACTCGTCCTTTACCAGCTTCTAGTTTTCTGTTATAAAACAAAAGAAGAAGTTCTGAAGAATGTTGAACACCTTTATCTATTGGTTTTTATTCTTACTATGGAGGTCAGTGGTGTAACTTAAAAGTATGAATATTAATAATTAATGATAACAAGTTGCAATTTAATTATGAATATTTTAATTTTAATCGGATTTCATTACAATGGCTACAGGCTTTTGGCTTTCTTTAGAATATTTTCTTTTGTGTTTAAAAGAAGAAAGAAACTCTTAAATGTTTGGCAGTAAATAGTGGGTAAATGTAGATTTTTGGGTGAACTGTGGCTTTAGTGTAATCCTCATGTGTATTAATATCATGGTATTTCTAGTAAAATCACATTATGGAGGTAGAATGGTTCATCAATGCTTCGACCATCATCCAGATGAGATGTCTGAGTTTTAATAAAGATGATAAACTGATTCTATGAGCTGTTTCACTCATGTTTTTAGTCAAATACAGATTATAGATGAAGTCGAAGGCAACATTATTTACTCTCCAGTGAAATTTTCTTTAATACTTTTTCTTCTGCAGAAAGTTTATTTTAGTTTGGCTGTTGTTCATTTTTTAAGATCAATTTTTAAGATATTTAACATTAAGATAATTTTTTTAGTCCACAATCTACAAATTTATCTACAGAGCAAACCACTGTTGTCAAATTAACTTAGTTAAGCCTTAATTGAATACTACTTTAAGCTGAATACTAGTATCTTGAAAAATAGCTCGTGAAGTAATATGAACAGTCATCATGGCCAAGACAAAAGAAATTCATTCATTCATTTCCCTTCGGCTTAGTCTCTTTATTCTTCTGCTACACCACAGCGGAATGAACCACCAACTATTCCAGCTTTTATTTTACAGCGGATCCCCTTGCAGCTGCAAACCAGTACTGGGAAACACCCACACGCTAATCTAGTTGATCAGTTCCCCTATAGCGCATGTGTTTGGTCTGTGGGGAAAACCGGAGCACCCGGAGGAAACCCACGCCAACACGGGGAGAACATGCAAACTCCACACAGAAACACCAACTGACCCAGCCGGGACTCAAACCAGAGACCTTCTTGCTGTGAGGTCACAGTGTTAACCACTGAGGCACCATGCCGTCCCAAAGGGAATTATTGATGTCATTATGTTTTTAAAAATCGTATCCACACAGAGGCATGGGACAATAACCGGTTTCAAGGTTTACCATGGTTTGCAAAAGTGAAGGTATTAAAACCGCAACATTTTTTTGTTATACTGTTACAAGGTATATGTTAAGGGTTTTAAGTGTTTTTCATGTGTTGTTTGGCAGGGCAAGTTTATTTATATAGCACATTTCATACACAGTGGCAACTGTATGGAAATCTGTGTTTTTGAAGCTAATGAAGTCATTGGTTTATTCTAATTATGTAGCCTGACATGTTTTCTGTTCCAAAATATCATAATGTGTTTTAAAATGTAATATATTGTGGAAAATGGGTAAAAAATATGTTTGTTTTTTTTACTTAGACATTTAAAAAGAAATTATTTTACAGCAGTACACACAACACTGTGATAGCCTGATATTTTTATCTAAGGTTATCATACCGTCAAAAACATATATCCATGCCTATCCACACGCATGGGAAACATTTGAAAACTAATTAAATTAATCTTATAAAGTAGTCTTCAGCTGTATAAATCACACCTGTCAACCCTCCTGTTTTTCCCGGATTCTATAAACATGTCGACCTTGGTGTTTTTTTTTCAAACACAATTAATTTCATCTTAAATGAGCATAAAAAGTCAGGAAAGCAGTCGAACGCTTTCATTATAATATTAGATGTGTGCGTTTTTAAAGTGACACCTGTTATTTACTGTCATGAAAAAAAATCTCAATAAATGAGAGATTCATTCGTCAGAATGTGTGAGTTATACGGTGGAGAAACGGCTAATGAGATTTGATAGCTTGATTCTATTTCATTATATATAAATATTATTTTAGTAAGCTGTTTGCTAATGTAGTTGCTGCTAATGTATATATTTTTTCTTTTGTTAATAATAATTTTTAAAACAAATTACTGACCATTTAACTGTTTATTTACAATAAAACAGCTCCAAATTTAGTAATTTGGGGATTTTTTTAAGGGGGGGGTCACTTCAATATGGTGTGCATATCCCTTATTTTCACATCCCAATGTTGACAGGTATGCTAAATGTGTTTAATGGCCAAAAGTTAAAGCTGGAGGTGTTTGCAAACACAAGAATGAAGAGTTCAGTGGTCATGTTGACAGACTAGAGTCCAGACACACACTCTGAGCACACACACTAACAGCCTCTCAAACCATCACATCTAGCAAATACACACGACACAAATCACACTAATGCTTCAGCACTCCATCAGTGTGTGTTAATGAGCTGAAGGATAATTAATACATTGATGTTCTGAACCCGTCCTGTCGATCGTAGACCAGCGGTGAAAACATGACAGACACTGTTTGGACAGGGGCCGCTGTCATTGGCTGATTCAGCAGTGGGCGGGGCTACATGTGAGTTTGATCAGTGACTGACAGGAGCTTCTGTGGTGGACTGCGATGGAGTCGCTTGTATATCGTCTGCTGTTCTTCATGCTAATCACTCATCATGTGTCGTCTGGAGATCAGCGTACAGGTGAGACATTCAGCAATACTGTCCTTAATATAATATAACACTTTTCTGATATACAACATTAAAATGAGCCCATGATTTACTGTCCCTCAAGCCGTTATCAGTGTATGACTTTCTTCTGTCAGGGGTATTGTACAAGATTTACATTTAAGATTTACTTCATTCTGATTTTGATAACTGAGTTGTTGAAATAAAACTATAAACAAATTATATTTTAAATTCAATGAATCCATGTTTCTGTGTTCTCCCGCTGGCATCATGAGGGTTTATATTCATGATGAATAATGCTTTTAAAAGCTTCAATAAAGGGTCACAATCCAACAGCATTATACAGCAGAAATGCAATTTAAATCTACTCGACTGTGTTCGTCTGACAGAAGAAAGTCCCATACACCGAGGAGGGCTTCAGGGAGAGCAAATTAAGAGACTTTTTTTATTTTTGGGTGAATTACTCCATTAAACTAGCGAGATTAAAACACTGGTAGCTGGCGTTCCTCAGAGCACAGAGATGAGCGTGAGTGTGATGCTGTGTTTCTGTGTGTTTCAGTGTTTCGCTCGCGCCGGCGGGCCAACGCTCTGCTCCTGCGCTCCAGACGGGCCAATACATTTCTGCTGGAGGAGATCCTGCAGGGCAATCTGGAGCGCGAGTGTTATGAGGAGAAATGCAGTAAAGAAGAGGCCCGAGAATGCTTCGAGAACGACCAGAAGACGGTAAGACATCTGACCATCACCACACACACACACACACACACACACACACACACACGTTTACTCCAAAACAAATCTATTTACATTACCATCAACCAATTCTTATCATTTAAAGTCGCCCTGAAACAGAAGTGTGTCCTCTTTCCTGCTATCATGATGTACATTTAGCAGAAACGGTCCTGAAATCAGACAAGACTGTAGGGCGGGGCATGATTTTGTTCTGTGGGAACTGATTGGATTGTTGAAAGATAGGCGATGCTGACAAAATGAAGGAAGACTGACCAATGGACAAACTCAGAGCAGAATCAAGACACACCCTGATAGCCCCACCCTAAAGCACTGATAGCTCCACCCTAAAGCACTCATAGCTCCACCCCCAAAAAATTGAGTGTGAGCAGAATTGCAGATAAGCAGAGGGAGGTTATGGCCTTTGATTAAAGTTTATGAGGGTAAATTATTGTTTTATCTTTTTTGATCTTGGTGTGATCAACCTGTCACTCACATGAGATCCACCAATAGCAAACAACAACTATTCAAATATTCCTCATGGAGAAAACCAAACCACACCCACATTTGTTAGTTATTCAGAATCTTATAAATAGCCCTCGCTAATTTATTATTCTTTATTCAGTCATTAATTTTATTTTTGTGTTAGTCCCTTAATCAATCAGGGGTCGCCACAGTGGAATGAACCACCAACTATTCCAGCATATGTTTTACAAAGCGGATGCCCTTCCAGCCATAACCCAGTACTGGAAAGGACCCATATACACTCATTCACACACACACACACTCATACACTAGTGCCAGTGTAGTTGATCAGTTCCCCTATAGTGCATGTGTTTGGACTGTGGGGGAAACCGGAGCACCCGGAGGAAACCCACACCAACACGGGGAGAACATGCAAACTCCACACAGACACACCAACTGACCCAGCTGAGACTCGAACCAGAGACCTTGCTTTGAGGTGAGCGTGCTACCACTATGCCACCGTGTCGCCTGCGTATTCTTTATTGTAAATCACAGAAGGTAGACATTTGTTGCTAAACATTATTATAATTGGCTGGTCCTGTTGACAGACTGAACTGTTTAACAGCTGAAAAAGGACTCTTATAGTCTAGATGGGATACAGGTGCAGATGCTCACATCAATATAACATCATTTTTGTGACACTGTATAACAATAATGATTATTTTTACATTCCTGTGAGTGGTAGGTTTAGGGTTGAGGTGGACTTAGGCATTGATAAACCCCTATTTAATGGATAATTTAATAAATAACATAAAATATAGTCACTATAATTTCTGCATTTACATTACTGTGATGGTTAGGCTTGAGGTAGATGGGAAATTTAATAAGTAACTTAACGTTAATATAGACAATTGTCGTTAGGTTATCTTAGGACCGCAGCTGTATCCCTTCTAGCAACAGCCTTCTACAATAGTGCGAGCCGCCAAGCAGAGCACGGCTGTGCTTAATAAACAACACACGCCAGTCATTGTAAAAGAGTGTGACTAACTGTGAGGGAAAAGCTGAAAACAGAGGTGGAATGGAGATTCAACACATTCTGGTTATATCGAAAACCTTTTCTCTTTTTCATCACTGAAGTGAACATGCTGAATCTGCATCAGTGGCGTAGCGCAAAATGCGGAGGCCCCCCTGCAGGGATCGCTGATGGGGCCCCCTGATGAAGGGGGGGGGGGGGGTTGGATACGTCATACGTCAATTGCATATCACTGACGTCATCACGTTCTACCGTTTCTGTTTAACAGCCTATGGTTAATAAAGGGGTATTTATAATTGCACTACATATAAGCATGTTTATTTAACTAAATTTATTGCTGTTTGAATACAGTATATCATTATAGATGTGTAACGTTAGTGAATGTGCAGTAATCTTTCATATGAAATAAACTAAAATATCACTAAAATGTCACTAAAATATCTGTGATTGTGAACAAGAAAAGAATAAACGGTCCAATTAAATTGTTAAAATAAAGGAGAAGTAGATCGGTTTGACTGTACAAGTGAAATACCTTCACACTGCCTGTGCTAAATCATTTGTCGTCGGTACGCAGAGGGGTGATCTGCTCTCGGGCTGCAGGTGGGAGAGGCTGCTGTAGAGGACTGACTGGGCCGCCTGTCAGTGCTGTGAGGCGGGGGAGGGGCCGGCGGCATCACACGCAGCTCGTTGAGAAGAGTAGGGACGGTACAGTATGGACAAATGACAGTCTAAAAAATCTCCAATAACACACAAAAAAGTCGCTAGATTTGTCGCTAGGGGGGTCTGAAAAGTCGCTAAATCTAGTGACAAAGTCGCTAAGTTGGCAACATTGGCGGCAAGCAATCAGAATGAAGTAGTCCACCGCTTGAGAGGTGTTCAGAGAACACAGACCTGTGAACTTTGGTTCCGACCACAGTTGTTCCCAACAGTTTATTGAAAATCGCGAAGACGCGGGGCCCCCTAATTACGCGGGGCCCCCCCGCGGTGCGTGCCCTGCGGGCCCGTCCGCTACGCCACTGATCTGCATTATTGACAAAATCCCGTCTGGTCATCAACTCACCGATGGCAGGAGCAGAAGCGCAGGAATGGTGTTTTAATCGGGTATCCTGATGAAAGGTTAACTGGTTTCAGAAAGTCCGTCGTCATGTTTTTGTCTTTAATTACGCTTCATTACGATCACTGATGTTGATTATGACCGAATGCCCGCGAAACATGCGCGCCACAACTGAGCGCGGGCTAATTGACTCCTCCCACTTCATGACGACTGTTTAAAAAGCACAGCTGTTTCATCATAATTAATTTTCTTTACTTTCATTTAATTCGTTTTTTGTCAGTGGAAATGAAAAAGGGAGAGAAAATGAGTTTATCAGGTGACCTTAATAACACATGACCCCGTGAAGCCCCGCCCTCGAGCTTAAATACTTCGTTGTAAATGTTTTAGCTTTTATTAAGTTATAACATTTTATTAAGTTATAAGTTTTCAAATAGTATAACTAAATGCTACTGAAAGTTTAACCTAACTCACTCATACATCTCTTTTCCCTGTTAAAGAATGAGTTCTGGGCCAAATACTATGGTGAGTGACCTTCAGAATGTTTATTCAATGATTGAATGAAATGATTCTGACAGCTTGTTTACATTATTTAAAGATAATTTTTAATTGTTTTAGACTTTTACATAAAGCCTTGTGCTCTTCATTTGTTCTATGTTTAATTATTTATATTTTGAAGTCTTTTCAGTTTAGATACTAAAGCTCCTCTGCTATATTACTGCAGTTGTATTAAATGAGCATATTTCGGCTGTCAGATGGAGACCAGTGCAGATCTAACCCGTGTCAACATGGCGGCACGTGTAAGGATGGCATCGGCCGATACACCTGTACCTGTGCGGAGGCGTACAGCGGGCACGACTGTCAGACAGGTAAATGTGCAATTGGCACCAGTGAACATGAGATCAGTGTGTCTGATGCATGTCTGACGCTTCACCCTGCTGTTTTCCAGATAAATCCCAGTGTCCATCTGCTGGCCCTTTAGCATGTGAGCACTTCTGCAGGCCGTCAACAGCTGCATACCGATGCTTCTGTGCTCGCGGATACACACTCAACAGCGACGGCAGGAGCTGCTCACCTAACGGTACTCAAACACTCACAAATCACTCAAACACTTGCTGAAACACACAAATCACTGAAACTCGCTGCATTTAATTGCTTCATTACCACTGCATCTTTGCTTCATTACCGCAATATTACTTCATTTATGCAATATTACCGCTACATCTTTGTTTTATTATTGCTGTATCTTTGCTTCATTACCGCTACATCTTTGGTTTATTATTACTGTATTTATGCATCATTACGGCAACATCTTTGCTTCATTACTGCTACATATTTGTTTCATTAGTGCTGTATCTATGCATCATTACCGCTACATCTTTGCTTCATTACCGCTACATCATTGTTGCATAACTGCTGCATCTTTGCTTCATTATTGTTGTATCTATGCTTCATTACCGCTACATCTTTGGTTTATTATTACTGTATTTATGCATTATTACCGCTACATCTTTGCTTCATTAATGCTACATCTGTTTTATTATCGCTGTATCTATGCATCATTACCGCTACATCTTTGCTTCATTACAGCTACATCTGTTTTATTATTGCTGTATCTTTGCTTCATTACCGCTACATCTTTGGTTTATTATTACTGTATTTATGCATCATTACCGCTACATCTTTGCTTCATTACTGCTACATATTTGTTACATTATTGCTCTATCTTTGCTTCATTACCACTACATATTTGTTTCATTAGTGCTGTATCTATGCATCATTATTTCATTAGTGCTGTATCTATGCATCATTACCGCTACATATTTGTTTCATTAGTGCTGTATCTATGCATCATTATTTCATTAGTGCTGTATCTATGCATCATTACCGCTACATATTTGTTTCATTAGTGCTGTATCTATGCATCATTATTTCATTAGTGCTGTATCTATGCATCATTACCGCTACATATTTGTTTCATTAGTGCTGTATCTATGCATCATTACCGCTACATATTTGTTTCATTAGTGCTGTATCTATGCATCATTACCGCTACATATTTGTTTCATTAGTGCTGTATCTATGCATCATTACCGCTACATATTTGTTTCATTTGTGCTGTATCTATGCATCATTAACACTGCATCTTTGCTTCATTACCGCTACATATTTGTTTCATTAGTGCTGTATCTATGCATCATTATTTCATTAGTGCTGTATCTATGCATCATTACCGCTACATATTTGTTTCATTAGTGCTGTATCTATGCATCAATACCGCTACATATTTGTTTCATTAGTGCTGTATCTATGCATCATTAACACTGCATCTTTGCTTCATTACCGCTACATATTTGTTTCATTAGTGCTGTATCTATGCATCATTATTTCATTAGTGCTGTATCTATGCATCATTACCGCTACATATTTGTTTCATTAGTGCTGTATCTATGCATCATTACCGCTACATATTTATTTCATTAGTGCTGTATCTATGCATCAATACCGCTACATATTTGTTTCATTAGTGCTGTATCTATGCATCATTAACACTGCATCTTTGCTTCATTACCGCTACATATTTGTTTCATTAGTGCTGTATCTATGCATCATTATTTCATTAGTGCTGTATCTATGCATCATTACTGCTACATATTTGTTTCATTAGTGCTGTATCTATGCATCAATACCGGTACATCTTTGCTTCATTACCGCTACATCATTGTTGCATAACTGCTGCATCTTTGCTTCATTATTGTTGTATCTATGCTTCATTACCGCTAGATCTTTGGTTTATTATTACTGTATTTATGCATTATTACCGCTACATATATATTTCATCATTGCTGTATGTATGCCTCAGTACCTCTGCATCTTTACCGCTCCGTCCTTGTTACATTTCTGCTGAATTGTGCTTCTTTACTGCTGCATTATTAGAAACTGCATATTTGCCTCATTTCTGCAGACCACAGAGTATGTGCTATTAATCACAAAATGATGGGTTAATTTCTTAGGAAAGACACGAGCATAAATATAAAAGGACTTCAATGCAATGTAAATCATTCTCGTTCTTCTCAGTCCAGAACCCGTGCGGGACGACGGAGATGTCCAGTTTCTGTCCTGATGGACGCTGCTCATGGGAGGTGAAAAGTAGATGAATCATCTTCAAACATGATCAGCCAATCAGAAGAGCAGCTGTTGAATATTCATCAGAGATGTGTGTTTTCTGCAGGTGAGGTTTCTGAACGCCAGCGGTCATGACGTGTGTCACGGTGTGATTCTGGGCCAGAAGTCTATTCTGACATCAGCCACATGTATGACTGCACTGCAGGATCTGCACTTCACTGTCGGTGAGAAACACACACTCATGTTTATCTCTGAGCCGAGAGCCATGTGTGGAGGTGCTGATCTGCATGTGTGTTATACCCGTCAACCCATTTTCCCAGGATTCTCCCATATTTGTTCTACTGCGGGGTGGTAATTTGTTTGTTTTCTGTGGGGGGGTTGAGGTAATCCCTTATTTGCGTGTTGACATGGTGTCTGGTGTTTTCCAGCGGTGGGCGTCTCCACTGCAGCTGTGCGCGTCTCCAGCTGGACACCTCATAAGCGTTTCCTCTCTGGTCCGGATGATGACCTGTGTTTCCTGGAGCTGCAGGAGCCGTTCCCCCCCAACATCAGCACCGTCCCGCTCTGCCTGCCTGAGAAAGACTACAGCGAGAACATCCTGATGAGGGCAGGGCGAGAGGGTGTGGCCGAGGGCGGAGCCACATACTCATACCTGTCATTGGACGACTGCCGTGACGCTCTGAACCTCACCTTCGTGATGACCAATAAGATGTTCTGCATGAAGCGTGAGTCTGCAGGCTCCGAGCGCTGCACTGTGAGCTCCGGCAGCCCCGCCGCCACACTGGAGGGAAAAACAGCCTTTCTGACAGGCGTGTCTCTGTCTGCGGGACGCTGCGGGGACACACTGCTGTTCACCAAACTGTCCCGATACCTGCACTGGCTGCGGCCGCTGCTGCTCGCCTCCGAGAGGGAGCAACCCTGAGAGGGAAACAGACTATACACAGAGCAGGATCTGATTTTGAAAGTAATGCAGTGCAATATTGAGCTGCTCCTTACTTGAGTTACTGAAGAGGAACTAGTAGCTTTACTTGGTTACCTGTTATGGTGAGTAATACGTTACATTACTGTTGAGTTATTTATAGCGATTCTAAAAATGATTGCATTGCAGTCGAGATTTAAAAGATAATAAGTTAAGAATTGTTTTATTTTAAAAACGATTTCCTGAAAACTCAGATGAGAATCAGTGTTTGGCTGAAAAAAATAATAAATTAAATAAATAAAATGACTACAACTGACAACAAAATACTTTCTTTCTTTTTTATGTGACATAATGTTCATTAAACATGTTATTCCTGTAAGATTCAACATCCGTAATGTGTACAAATCTGGATTAAATGTGAGTCATGTATAAAATAATATATTGTTTAATGCAATATAATTAAAATATTGCCATTCTAATGATTTTAGGCTGAATTTATAAATGATTGATCAGTAATTAAAAAAAGAAAATGTACAAAACAGTGTGATGTTTATCTAACAATATTCAGAAGAATATAAGACCGAAGCTCTGAGGATCAGTGTGTCTGTGATGGTGCATTCTGGGAGATGGAGTTCAGGAGATGCTGGACAGCGGAGGGAAGGGATTCTGCTTGCTGACCACCAGCTTCTGGTGCTGATGGGAAATATAGCCCTTAATGTGACCCTGAGAGACACAAAACACATAATCATATTCATAACTCATGAACTGGAAAGAAGAGAAGCAGCACCAGAATATGACCTGCAGACAGCGAGAACTCAAACCAAAATCATTTGATGCTGAAATATAAACTCAAATATTGCATGAAGGATCCATTAGAAATGTTGCCTTGTTGACTAATAATGATGTGTGTGAGGAGTGTGTGTGTGTGTGTGTGTGTGTGTGTGTGTGTGTGTGTGTGTGTGTGTGTGTGTGTGTCTCACCATGTAGATGAGGTTGGCCAGAATGCACTGCACCTCGTCGATGTCCACGTCCTCCACCTTCATCATCTGCAGCGACACCAGAAATGCAGCCAGAGGAAGCTGATGAGTCCTCAGGAGATGATACCTGCAGAGGAAGAAGATGTGATCTGCATGATCTGGGTGAACCACACACACACACACACACACACACACACAACACTCACACTTTCTTGAAGAGGTTTCTGTAGGTGATGATCTTCAGCTTCTCCAGGATGAGGAAGATCCCGCAGCGGATGAAGAACGTCTCGTGTTTGACCAGAGCGGCGTTCAGCAGCAGCAGATTCCCCTCACTGACACACACACACACACACACACACACACACACACACGAGCAGAGGATGATATGATGATTAAGACCTACAGCAATTTTACTGTGTGTGTGTGTGTGTGTGTGTGTGTGTGTGTGTGTGTGTGTGTGTGTGTGTGTGTGTGTGTGTGTGTGTGTGTTTTACCTGACAGCTTTAGTGACATCAGCAAACTGCATGAGGTCATATTTCTTCAGTAGCTGGTGTGTGGGCATGTGACCCTAAAAAAACCACACACACACACACACACACACACACTACTGTCACTTACACTGTTGCGCAACAGATCACGTTTACACAATCACATTTAGATTGGATAATTGCTGATTATCTGTGGAAACAAACATTTTAAGAGTTTGCACATTTAATCATAATGAAAATAAGAATTAATAATCATATAATAATCATAATAAATAATAATAACAATAATAAATGACATGTTTACCAGCAGCATCTTAACGGGCAGCAGGTAGATGAGGATCAGCCGCTTGTTCCTCTGGCAGGAGCGATGGCAGTGGGTAAAGGAGAACGACAGACACTCCTCAGCTGCACACACACACACACCTTCATCATCATCATCATCATCATCATCAACATCATCATTATGTACTGTAACATCATCACACTATAACAGCCCTCATCATCATCACATACCATCAACATGACAACCAAATTATTCATCATCTTCATCATAATTATCACCATAACAATCATCATCACCAAGCTTCCACCATAATGGCCATCCTCATCCTCATGTGGTCAGACCTGGTTTGAAGTCGCTGTCGAACATGGCCTTCCTGCCCACGTAGTATTTGTAGGTGACGCGCTGAGCCATGGTGTACTCGTCCTTCAGGTTGGAGCTGTCGATGGCGCGGATGAGCGGCTTACACAGGTGCAGCTTATTGATCTGACACACACACACACACACACACACACACACACACACATCAACTAGAGTCAGACATGTTGACCTGGCGGCGAACAGAAGACTGGATCACTACTCAAAGTGTCTGACTGAAGCAGTGACTGTAATAAAGATGTGGAAATATGATAAATACAGATACAGTATAGACTCTTACTTTGAAATAGATCTTGAAGAGCTGATTGATGAGGAACAACATTCCCCATTTCTTCGAGTCGTCAATCCCAGCGCGACTGAAACACACACACACACACACATGTCATGTGACCGTATGGATGGACCCAGACTCACATTAACGCAGCTCATGTTATAGGACAGATCATTTCAGATCAGCGTCTGAGCAACAGCTGCTGTGAGCGTCCCAGACGTGAGGCTTTGACCGAGTGTGTAACAGACAGATATGAGTACCGCTGTAATGTGCACTCACTTGTCGCTGGCACACACTCTGAAGCAGCTCATTAGCTGCTCCGCCGCTTTCTCCAGCATATCTCCAACCTTCCCTTTGCCCTTCTGCTGCAGCTGCTGCTCCGCCTGGACACACACACATACATACATAAATGCATGCATACACACATGCACAACACACACACAGGTATACAAACACATAGACACCCAAGCATGAACACACACACACACAAACGCACCCATGTACACACTAATGCAGCAGTTCCACTCACATTATTGGCGAATATCCTGAGGTCAAGGGTCACGGCGAACATGATGGGCAGTGCCCTGAAACACACAGATCATCATCAGTGACGCGCACACACACACACACACACACACACACATTTGATTTAATAAAACACAAATAATATAACACACATCTCACCAGTTCTCCTCTTTATGAGCCTGAAACGCCTTCAGAAATGATGTTCAGTGTGTTAAAGATCAAACACTGATAAACACACACACACACACACACACACACACACACAGAGTCACTCTGGAAGATCTGAAGACAAAGGATATTGAACTACCACCGTCTGGCATTTGTAGGCCTCCACAAAGTCATGGTTGGACACCGCGAACGTACATCTGCAGAGGGGAACACACACACACACACACACACACACACACGTGTAAAAACATGCAGAATACACAAACAGAACACAGTAAATAATGCTGCTAACATACAGTAAATAGAGTAAACATGCAGTAAATATGCGGTAAACATGCCGTAAATGTGTGGTAAACATGCAGTGAATATGCAGTAAATATGTGGTGAACATGCGGTAAATATGCAGTAAATATGCACTGAACAATGCAGTGAACATGCAGTAAATGTGTGGTAAACATGCAGTGAATAAGTGGTAAACATGCAGTGAATATGCAGTAAATATGCAGTAAATGTGTAGTAAACATGCAGAAAATATGCAATGAACATGCAGTAAACATGCAGAAAATATGCAGTGAACGATGCAGTAAACATGCAGTAAATGTGTGGTAAACATGCAATAAACATGCAGTGAACGATGCAGTAAACATGCAGTAAATATGCAATGAACATGCAGTAAACATGCAGTGAACGATGCAGTAAACATGCAGAAAATGTGTGGTAAACATGCAATAAACATGCAGTGAACGATGCAGTAAACATGCAGTAAATATGCAATGAACATGCAGTAAACATGCAGTGAACGATGCAGTAAACATGCAGTAAATGTGTGGTAAACATGCAATAAACATGCAGTGAACGATGCAGTAAACATGCAGTAAATATGCAATGAACATGCAGTAAACATGCAGTGAACGATGCAGTAAACATGCAGTAAATATGCAATGAACATGCAGTAAACATGCAGTGAACGATGCAGTAAACATGCAGTAAATGTGTGGTAAACATGCAATAAACATGCAGTGAACGATGCAGTAAACATGCAGTAAATATGCAATGAACATGCAGTAAACATGCAGTGAACACAGCACTGCAGACTGATGCAGCACACACACCTGAGATGAGCGGCCACCATCTCATCATACGGCGGCTCCAGCAGCTGCTGACACTTCTCCTCTGGACTGGACAACTGTCACACACACACACACACACACACACACACACACACACACACACACACACACACACACACACACACACAATAACTCTTAATGCAAGAGCCCTTTGCACGAGGAAGCTGATATTTGAGGGCATGCAGCAGCAGAAAGCCTGTGGTGCAGTTCTCTAGTAGCCTAAGCAGTGTGTATTAACTAGTAATAATGTATTGAAACACCTGCAGGCGAGGGTTGGCCACGTGTGGATGCTTGAAGGACAGCATCTCTGCGCAGAAGGAGCCGTCTCTGCTGTCTATGGCCTCCAGAACCTGCAGAGAGGATCATTAACACTGAACACAGACACAAACACACACACACACGATGAGGAGCTGCAGGTGCTCAGACAGAAACACACTCACCTGCTGCAGGTACTGGTTCAGAGTGATATGAGCCATTTCCTGATCTCTGAAGTGAGGGTCTATAGCACTGAGAAATGCCTACTGAGAAGAGCACAGCATTAATGAGATTATACACACGTCACCTGCACACTACAGCTGAAAACACTATAATCCATACACCTAGGATGTAAATGAAGTGTGCACACTACTGAGGGTATATAGCACAGAGAGATGCCTATTGAGGGGACGACAGCATAGATAAGACTACAAACACATCACCTGCACACTACAGCTGAAAACAACATAATCCAAACAAGTAGGGTCTAAATAAAGTGTGCACACTAATAAGGGTATATAGCACAAACAGCTGCCTACTGAGGAGACCAAAGCATTAATGAGACTATAGACACGTCACCTGCACACTAGAGCTGAAAACACTACAATCCACACAGCTAGGGTGTAAATAAAGTGTGCACACTATTAAGGGTATATAGCACAAACAGCTGCCTACTGGTGAAACTATCGCATTAATGAGTCACCTGCACACTAGAGCTGAAAACACTACAATCCAAACAGCTAGGGTGTAAATGAAGCGTGCACACTGTTGAGGCAATACAGCAGAGATATGCCTACTGAGTACACTACCCGCACTAATGAGATCATACACCCATCACATGCACACTAGAGC